GAAGGAGGGACAAAATGGGCAAAGCAAACAAATACGCACGTTGCACACGAATATCGTGTGAATATTACATTACTAATTCATATTTGTTTAATCGACTGTTCTGAACTGAGATCAGAAAATATATTTCAAAAAGACTTGCCTCATATCACTACTTTTTTATGAAACCCCACTCTCAACTAATAGCTACCCTAATTAGTTTGTCTTAACCATAAGCATAACAAGTTTATTACAAAACATATATATTAATTTAATTAATTTATAGTACCGATCGGTGAAAAATAACTAAATGTAGGCTAACTTTATAGTTTAAAAACATATTTTAAGTAAAACTAAGCAATTGTATAGCGTCTAATAAATTTTTTTCCGTTTTATTAAAATCAAATGTATGTCTTTTATAAAGAAAAATAATATTTTTCCGCAGATTCTGCAGAGCTGAGTACCAACACCTTTATCATAGAAAAATTATTTATTATTTTTATATTTAAGTTGAATTTCAGTGGTGGGGAAGAAAGGTCTGTACGGGGTATTCAAGAGCCGGTCTAGCTCAACATTAACGGTCCACTTATTTGTTGGCGTCGCATGAAATAAACAATTAGCAACTAAAAGCTATTTAATTTGAGAAAAAATTTTGTATTTTAGATACCTCTGAGAATCATTTATTAATAAAAATTTTTAATTAAATTTTGATTTGAAATTGTTGTCGAAAATGCTGCTAAAATAAAAGCAAATAAGAGCATTCCATACAGCGACAATAACTATGAATTTGTAAAAAAAAAAAATAGTACAGATCAAATAAATAGATTTGAAGTGGATGGCCGTTGTCTGTTCCAGATAGTTTACGTTATCTCCGCTGATTACCTACGGCGAGTGAACTCAACAGTTTACCAGATATACGACAACCGATCTAAATTTAAACCATTTCAGAAATGTTTTCTTTACTTTTTCCACACAGTACAACTTTTTACATGCAATATACATAAAGTACATGTATACATACATACTACGGGGCATACGAGTATACGAGTATATGTATAGTATGTTGAAGATAAAGCCCCACTGATACCGATATAATTGTTTGTTTACTCACAACGATTTTATGAGGGACACATGTGCACAGATGTATGGTAACTAAAAATATAATTAAGCCATATTGAAGACTTTCGTTGAACAAAAAAAAAACAATTTTAAATGTTTAACAAATATGAAATGTTGTACTGAGCGCTATTCAAAATTTCTATCTACAGCTGCAATAATTGAGGGGAAATTTGATGGGAACTTGCAAGCTAGTAGAACAGAAGGTGGAAAAACTGTTGAACATATATTGTATACAAGTATTTTCCCAGGCCTTTGCGATTTCACACTCGACGATGAATGCACTGCAAATCCGCATAAAATATTTTTAGAAATTAAAACAGAAGCATATCTAAATGCCGGCAACAACAACAACAACAACAACAACACAAACAGGCGACCCTTCTTAGGACACAGGACCAACGCAAGCAAAGGCGACTGACTCTCAAGAAACCCATAAATTGTTGTTGAAAATCTTAAAGGAAAACAAAAATAGAAATGTGTCAATGTAAACACACACACACACACTACATACACTACACACACACACACACACACACGTATGTATGTACACCCACAGCTAGTTGAGTCTGGCTGGCAAAGGACGTCGCGTCTTTCCCGGTGTTGTCAGTAAATCTGAACCATAAAAGCGCAAAAACTCAGACGCATGCAATGCACTCGTTAGACCCGCACCGGCTGCATCATGGTCCTCTGGCTATAGCTATGGGTATGGGAAGTGGCGGGAAGGCGGCAACGGAGACGATGATGACGACGTCGACGCGAGGAGATGACGTTAAAATCGATTTTTGTGCTACCTGCGGCGATGTTGGCACTTACCTGCAGCTAATGGCCAGACCAGACCAGACCAGGCCAGAGACCGAGCGTGTGTGCGAGCGACCGACATAAATCCATAAAAACATGGAAGAAAAAAGAAATAATTAAATTGCAATTATGTGCAAACAATTCCAAATCCGGAGATTCGGAAAAAGTTAATTACACGACAATAAAGAGCAGAAGCAGCCAGCAACGAAAGTGGCCGCGGGACGACGCACCGGACGATGGTCACGGTCGGCAAAAGGGAGGAACAGGGACGGACGGACGGTGGGATGGACGGACACAAACTGACGCCCCGGGTTGCGGCACATCCGCAGGTTATCATCTCGTTGGTTGGCTGCTTGGTTGCTTGGATATTTGTTGATTTGCTTTGGTTTTCTGAACATTTTGCATGTGCGGGCGATGAGTGGGTCTTTGGGCCGACTTAAGCTGACATTAATGGCCATTTGAGTGTGGCTTCTGGTCTGCGATTTAATCGCTTCGCTGACTGACTGACTGACTGACTGACTGATTTCTGGTGACACGTCGTCTACATAATCATTATTAGTGTCTGGCCGACTCGCCATTCGTGATCTCGATTTGGCGATCTTACAAATCATTAACTTGCCATGAATACGGCTAATGAAGTTTCGCTCTCCAGACGGACGGACGCACGCAACAAAGATAATTCGTATTAGCCATGGTCTTATTATATTATTAGTCCGGTTCATTTTACAAATGCTGCACAGTGTTGAGTAGTTTTTGAAAAGGGGTTGCATGCCTTCAGCGGATAATGTTGCATGACACAACATAATGGATAGCTGACCCACCTCACAGATCGAGCTGCCTTACAAGTATATACTTCTCCTTATATGTATATATTCAGACATATATATTCAGATATAGATGAGACCAACATTATCCCCGCTGAAGAATTTTTGGGAAAAAAGGAGTACTCTACCAGATGGTATTACCTTAGTTGCTTTTTGAAGAACTCTATTGTTGCTAGAAAAATTTAACTTGGCCCGTAAAAAATCTACTTATAAGATTCTTTGGCACTTTTCAAAAAAGCTACTCCTTGTTTTGTAGAGTTTGCTGAGCCAGCTATGAACTCGACGCAATTAGATCAACTAAATATATTAGAAACCTTCATTTAAGAAACTTAAATAATTTGTTGTGAGATCAGTAAAAAATACAATTTTTCCTTTGCAAGCTTTGACTCCCATTTTACCTCACTTTGGGTTGAAATAGGTCTACTTATGAGAAAATAGTCGGATTTTTTTTTAAAAAGCTACTCTCAATAAGATATAGAAACGTTCGTTTAAGGAAATAAGGAAAACTTAAATAAATACAATTTTTCCTTTTTACAATTTTTGACTACCATTTTATCCCACTTTGGGTTGAAATATGTCTACTTATGAGAAAATAGTCGGAACTTTTTTAAAAAGCTACTCTCAATAAGATATAGAAACGTTCGTTTAAGGAAATAAGGAAAACTTAAATAAATACAATTTTTGACTCCCATTTTACCCCACTTTGGGTTGAAATAGGTCTACTTGTGAGAAAACAGTTGGAACTTTTCAAAAAGCTACTCTCTGTGGTATTTGCTAAGCCAGCCATCAACTCAAGCCAATAAGATCAACTAAATATATTAGAAAAGTTCTCTTTTTATTTTTATTTATTTATTTATGTCAACAAACATTGATTGTCGATATAGGAGGAAAAATTATAAAAAGCATCTTATAAGCTAGAAGAGCCTAAGAAGGAGAAATCTAATCAAATTACAATAATATCTAATTAACGCCTCCGACCCGGTTGGGGAATAATATTTGCCCTTCGGCTGAGACGGGGCACAGTCTCACAGCCAAGTGTGGTCAGAGAAGTCAATAGATCTACCGCCATAAATAGAAGAAAAACTTAACAAAGAGAAGAAGCTTAGAATTACTTAAAAGCTAATTTCAAAAAGAAAAAAAGAGTAAAATAAAGAAAAATGGAAAAAATCTCAGACCCGGTGGGGGACGATTTTTTAGCCAGTCTAAGGAACTAAGGCAATTTTGCAAACTTTGACTTCAATTTTACCCCACTTTGGGATCAAATGTTCCACACCAACTAAAATGAAGCCTGCATCGTAATTTCAGTTTGGCTTGCTTTTAATTTGGCTGTGGATTCATTTCAATTCGGTTATCAAGAATATATTGTGGCATATGTATATATGAAATAATGTTATTTCATAATGAACATATAAATAAAAGTTGATTTTCTGGTCACATAACTGTATGAATGACTCTAGACTAAATCACTTTTAACCAAATATCCTATATCAACCTACAATTATGTCAGCAATTATAGAAAGCATTTTTATAGGAGTTTGCAAATTCTTTATCTTTATTAAAACAGTCTCTAGGGTATCTAGAGATTTTCTCAGATTTCTAGAGTGTGTGTCAGTGAATGGGAAAAGCTCCCAAAGACTAAACTTGTAAATCTGTTGCCTTAAAATACCAACCTTGCTTCTATGTAGTGAAAAATAACTCAACCAGAACTGCAGCTGCTGACACTGCTGGATTGGAAATATTGCCACAAGAGTCGATACAATAATCGGCTTTATACACACCCCAACCTGCTTGCTGTGGATCTTTTCATTAGCACCTGCCGTAGGACCGCACCCTCCGTATCAACACTCCCTTTATTTAATATTTCAACCGCCATAATACGTCCACTAAGGCTATTGTTGGATGGGCCTAATAAATACTACAATATATTACAATGGATTCCCTCTGACCTTTTCTTCACTGAGCTCAAAGACGGTTTCGTTACCCAAATAATTGAAATTCCAAGAGGTCTGCTCGCAACATTAAATTAAACATTACGAATTAAACATTAGCATTAAATGACAAAATGTGTTCTACTTCAAAGGTTAGTAGTTAAGCAGGTCAGCTAACCAAATGGCTGACCCACTGCCCGCCTGCCTGCGATTCTAAATGACAGCCAATGGGTCTTGGGGTTCAGGAAAGTTTAATTAGATCTGCATACCGAATGATGCATGATGGGTGCCCCAAATAGGTTAACGAACCGTTTGCACATGGAAACCAAGGCAGTGCGTATAGTTTCTTGAAAAGATGCGCTTGTTGGCGCTCTCGGCCTGCCTTTGCCTCACAGCTGCAGCGAATTGGACAAACTTTATGCCTCGCTCCCCCCTAGAGGACTATCGGGATAGTCTCAGGCTGTTGCTCCAGAAACTTCTGTGGACGGCGCATGTGAAGAGCTGCTTTGCAATCATCACCGATGATCTACACTTTGCAATATACGAACGCTCCCTCTTCGAAGCTGCGAGCCGCCATCCACTGCCCTACTATATGGTCCAGCTCGAGGACTCCGAGGACTTGCTGCAGCCACCAGATGGGATTGAGAGCGTACTGCGCGCCATAAAGGCCTACGATTGTGACTTGCATGTGATGACCTTCCTGAATGGCGGTCAGTTGAAGCGCCTTCTCCGCTTTGTCTACGACAGCAGGTCCTTGAACACTCACCGTAAGTTTATCCTGCTGTATGATGAACGTCTCTTCGACGAGGATATGCTGCACATATGGAGTGCCTTGGTCGACAGTGTGTTCCTTCAACGCAACACTGACAATAGGTGAGGGAGTCCATTTAGAGGGTATAGCCGTAGCATTAGAGCAGCATTGCGTAGTTTCAGCCTATCGACAATTGCCTATCCGGGTATTCTGAGTGGATTCTTGGTGATCAAGCAGTTGGGTAATTGGGAGACCGGAAGAAGCATCGACAGCAAACGTCTATTCAAGAACAAAAGGGACAACCTAAATGGTAGGTAAGTAATGGTAAGATATAATATGAAACCAACAAATTTCAACTAATTATGAAAAGGGACAACTAAGATATACCTATAGTTGGTTGTTGTATATTGTTTTTGTTATTATTTTTTATGGCAGTTAATTATTATTACTACTATAATAAACACTAGTAAATATATACATATTGGTTCTTACTCTAATACTTGTAGTCCCTAATGGGAACTCTAGAATTTAAGTTAAAATGATCTTCGTTTTTCGCAAACCTATTCTAATACTACTAACTTATAAAATTGTTTTAAAAAAGAAATTATAATTAACAAGTAATTATTGTATATCGTTTCAAGGTAACAAATTATTTGAGAAATTAATAGAGGTCTATTATGAATGAATATTATGAAGTGTTTCAAAACTTACCGCGATAACAAACCAATAGGAATTTTTACCATGCATTTTAAACCATATAATGGCTTTTATTATATTTTTTAAAAATAGGTGATTGTTTATTTAAGAATTCGTAGAAAACTGTTTTCTCAATTCATTTTTATATAAACAAAAGTGTGAACTTAAATAAAATTTTTTTTGTAATTTGTTTTCCATAAATTTCGACCCCAAAAGCGAATTAAGTTTAAAACATTCGATACCTATAATATACCATTTATAGGTATACTATACGGTATATAAATATTTATTGAAACTGACACAAAATTTGTGTTAAAATACACAATTTTTTATTACATTTCCGGATAGACTTGTTTAGTTACAATTTTTATAAGGCTATATAGGGATGTCTCAATTATATTTGGATAATTAAGTTTAGAGAAACATAGAGCAGAAATTGCTTGAGTTACTTACAAGAAGATGCCTAGAAAGAACTAATAGATGAAAGATGATCTCCTCTTCTTATTGTTGGAATTAATTGTATTTACTTCGATCAAATTTGAATTTGTTATTTTAAGGAGCTCAGCTGCCCGTCGCCATTATGGAACATGTGCCAATGGTGCAGTTGGTAGCTGCCACCAGTAGTTACCAGGGTGTGGAAATCGAAATCATGACCGCCTTGGCCAAAGCCCTTAATTTTCAGCCAATGTACTATCAGCTGAATGAGACCGATTTCACCGATTCGGCGGAGAATGGAACCCGTGCGATCGTAATTGGTGAAGTGGTAAGTGTTCGTAGGGAGGCCCATTGAAGTAACTTTTATAATGTTTTGTTTATCCTTCTAAGGCCAATCATAATGCACGATTCGCAATTGGTGATCTGCATTTGTTTCTGACATATTTAGATTACATTGAGCTCAGCTATCCGCACAATTTTGAATGTTTGACATTTCTGACTCCGGAATCTTCGACCGACACCTCGTGGGAGACCTTCACACTACCCTTCAGCGCTGAGATGTGGGCAGGCGTAATGCTCTCCCTCTTTGTCGTAGGCACTATCTTTTATATCATCTCCTACCTCCATTCCTCAATCATGGACCCTGAGGAATCCACAAAGGCAGCTACAACTTTTTTCGGCTGCCTTCGAAAGCGTCGGAAGTCCTTCTTCGATGAACGCCAATTCCGAAGCGTGAGTTTTCGCATCGCTTTGACCCGTCGCCGATCTAAGCTGGTTATGCCACGCGATATCTTCGATAACTATGCCAGCTGCATTCTGCTAACCTATAGCATGTTGTTGTATGTGTCTTTGCCCCGCATGCCCTACAATTGGCCGCTGCGCGTACTCACCGGTTGGTACTGGCTATACTGCCTCTTGCTGGTGGCAATATATCGGGCAAGCTTTACAGCCATTTTGGCCAATCCAGTGGCGAGGTAAGAGAGCTTGATGTACTGTTTTGCCATAAACTACTTGCATATATCTCAAGCAGAGTTAAAATTTGACCCCCAATTGGGGAAAATCATTGTTCCTTATCTGATTGGTTCCAAATTAGGTTTGTATACTTTAAAAAATAAATAATGTTTTTGGGAAATTAGACCATTTGCGCACGATAGAGGGCGCCAGTGTCAACTTAAATATGTTATTGTTTTTGTAGGGAAGATAAACTTTTTCCATTCTAAGTGAGATGCCTCTAGACTAAACAAAAATTCTTCTAGAAATATTAATGCTGCCACTACTTTTTTGACATTCGTATAAAATAGGCACTAACAGGTGGTTTTTAGAAATTTTACCCGAAAATGGGGTAAGAGGTGATTGTAGAAACTTATGCTCTTTGCCAATTAAGTAACATACAAAATAATAAAATGGTTTACGAAGCTGACACAGTTATCATTATATTTCTAGCACTAATCAATAAACAAATGTTCATATTTTATTATTTTGAAACCAAAACTTGTTAACTTATCATTATTAATTTATTTATTTTTTACACTATTTGCTATTATTTAGATGTATTTAGTTTAGTAAAGAATATCGTATCTTTAGGGTTACTATCGACACTCTGCAAGAGCTGTTAGCTTATCATTTAAATTTTGTACACTCCTTGCTATTATTTATATCGAGTCTAATAAAGAATATCGTATCTTTAGGGTTACTATCGACACTCTGCAGGATCTTGTAAATGCCCGCATACCACCCACCACGGGAGCGGCTGAGAACAAAAACTTTTTCCTGAATTCCAGCGACGAAATCGCTCAAAAATTGGGCGATAAAATGGAGATAGTGGAACTTAGTGCTGATCTGGTGAGCAAATCCTTTCAACGTTACAACTCAAAGTCTTTATAGGTATTCATTCAATAGACCGCTCGCATTGAAAGAGGTCAGTGCGCGTACTACGACAACGAATATTTTTTGCGCTACATGCGTGTGGGAGACGAGGAACGGGGTGTGGGCTTCACAGCTCTGCACATAATGCGTGAATGCGTCGTCTATATGCCTGTAGTATTGGGTATGGAGAAGAACTCGGCCCTGAAGCCACACGTTGACAACTACATAATGCGTTTGAGTGAGGGTGGTGGGTGAAAGTGTGGATCCTAATCCATAATCCTAATAGTTCTTAGATGTTTGCTTTCAATTCGCAGGTCTCATTTCCAAGTGGCTGAGGGACAGCATTAATCGTTTACCTGCCGAGGAGGAAGCACCTCAGGAGGCTCTAATGAATCTACACAAGTTCTGGAGTTCGTTTGGCGCCCTAGCCATCGGATACTTTCTTGCCTGTTGCGCAATATTTGCAGAACGTTGGCATTTCAAGAAAGTGGTGATGAAACATCCCATGTATGATGCTTACAATCCCAGCTTGTATTACAATTTTAAGCGTCGATATCCAGATTTATAGATACTAAGATTTACATATTTTCCAATATGTAAAGCTATTTGTTTTCAAAAATTACAATACGCACGAAACATAAGTGTCTAAATAAATTTAAAAAGTTAAAAAGTTTATTAACGGCCTATATTAGTTTGTATTTAAAGCATGTATTGTCATCTTCTATTCCAAAATGGGTATTTCCTGTTATAATTTTATCGAATAATATATATATTTATGATGAGAACTAGATGGAAAATTTGAGGTAGCCTTCAGAGTAACTGTGAATACACAACCATACCAATTTTCATGAAATGGTAGAAACCAGATGGTGCTTATGGAATAGGAATCATGAAAAAATGGTTGAATAATTAGATTTTGAAAAATGGAATGCTGGAACAACATTTTCGGAAATAAAGCTCAATATATGACTTGCTAAAATTGTGTTCAGTATTTTTAAAAAACTGCAAAGTTGAATTTTTAAGTTTAAATGGTTTTAAAAACAATGCTTTTAAAGAATTGACAACTAGCCTATTTGAATTAAAAGTTAAAAAACCTGCCAATACCAACCAACCAAACTCATATAAGGAATCTTATGGAATCTTAAGTGGAACCAATCTTGTCGGCCAGTACTAATCCTATAGACTGAAATTTAAAGAAATAAATATGGAAAATATGTTTCTTGACAACCATTGACGAACATCAGCGAAGCAAGAATCTTTCAATAGATGGCGCGCTCATCTATTCCTAACTGTGTAGAGGGTATAAATGTAGGGTAGAGAGTATAAATGATTCGTGAAAAACTTCTCTCTCGTTCTCATGGTACCATGGAAATATTAACAATTAATAATCGCAGTACAATCACAAGTTGTACCCAAAAAAAATGACAATTTGCAATCACAATTTCATGCTGCCTGTCTTACGATCAAAGATTGTAGACTTCAGATTGCAATCACAATCATAGAAAATTGAAGGAAAAACTGAGAGATGATTGTGTAGAAATTTGTAATAGTCATTGATTGTCATGTTCATTGGATCTGATTGCAGTCACTGATTTTGATTGCCGGCAGTGATTGTAATTCGAACGATGTTGTCGATATCGGGCCATCGTGTTTTCCCCCTTCTGTTTATACGTGCCAGATAAATCTAACACATTTTAAATTAGTTTTCAGAGCAATACAGAATGCTGAGAGTGGAAGGAGAAAGGAAATGTTAATTTGATATAATTAGGACTTTAAATGTCACTGAGTATTTATGCATTATACTGATTCTGATATATATTTTTTCAGAGAACTCATCTGCTTGTTATTTCAATTATTTATAATGTGAGAGTGCAAGTGGTAAGCTATCTTTATCGTACTTATTATGTAAATATTTAAGTGGTATGACTTCTTAAAATCATGCAGCACTTAAGAGAGAACTCAGCTACGAGTATTCATATGTACATATATATGTATGTATGTATACAGATTGATGGACAAGCGTATAAGTTTTTACCAAAATGTAGACGCCTGAGGGCATGTTGCCCATATCTTCATATCTCATCATGCCGCCTTAAGTGGCCTCAAGTGGAAGGAAAGCAACGTGGTGAGTCAATTCCACATATAACTCGCACATCACAACAAGAGTTGTGCATTTGTTCCATCACTTTCTGTAAATAATAAGTTCCATTGTTTATGGAGCGTTGCAAAATAAACAATATTTGTTTATGGCCATTGCTTAGACAATCACATATTCGCAGGCCAAAGCCAAAGCCACAACCACAACAAAAACAAATCAAAGAGATGCTAAATATGCTTAAATGTGTATAGTCGTTAATAATAACGACCTTTGCTTGTTGGCCCAAACAGAAAAAAAGCCTAGGAATTCTAAAGAAATTATTGAATTAAAATCCATGCCAACGAAATCCCCGAACAATGCGGGCCCAAGGCAGCTCCCACTGTTATCCGAAAGGTAGCCAAACCAGAAACATTAAACAATCATTGCTGTTGGCCCATAAAAAGCAAAAACAACGTTGAATTTTAATAAAAGTAAATAAAAAGCATTTGGCTGGCTGATTCCTCTGCCACTTTTCAAATTAGATTATTTCGTTATTTTTGGCCACAGGGCCGCCTCAACAGATTAGGCTTACACGGAATAGCACCTAATTGGAGCAGCTCATGAATATGTTTTAGCATCTGTTGGTAATTAGGGGAAAACATACAGAAATTCTTGAAGTCAAATCCATCGACTTGCAATCAAATTTAAAGTTGAAAAAACATGCTGATGAATTTTCATGTATTTTAGTAGATATAGTATTTCGTTTTTCCATTTCCTTTTTGGACTGAGTAGTTTTTGAGCTTTAAAGCTATCCGATAACTAAAAAATAGATTTCTAAAAATCCTAGACTTTACCATATTTGATACAATAGAACCAGTTTATAACAAGTTCTAGGATACTTTGCATACAATTTTTATTTGTTACAGATAATCAAATATTTTGCTGCACTGCTGCAACTATTTCTAAAACCCAAAACAAGGAATTTTTAATGTGCATTTTAAGCTGCTTATTCGTCTTTGCGTCTGTCTGTTCGACAGTATGAACGCAATAAACTCAGAAAGTATTAAAGTTATCACACTTCATAGTATACAGGTTTGCCAGTATTCCCAAAATGCAGGCAATTCTATTAAAATTACATACATAATTTAAATCAAATTATTGTGTCCGCCCTCCTCTGCGATTCTCATACCAAGTACCTAAGTGATGGCAAATCGAGATTTAAATTCTGAAATTTCTAATAAATTAAATTAAATAAAAATAAATTGTGAAATTTCTGATAATTTAAAATAAATTGTGAAATTTCTGATAAATTAAATTAAATAAAAATATTGTGGCCACCCTCCTCTGCGATTCTCATACCAAGTACCTAAGTGATGGCTAATCGAGATTTAAATTCTGAAATTTCTAATAAATTAAATTAAATAAAAATAAATTGTGAAATTTCTGGTAAATTAAAATAAATTGTGAAATTTCTGATAAATTAAATTAAATTTAAAAAATTTTGTGGCCGCCATTCTCTGCGATTCTCATACCAAGTACCTAAGTGATGGCAAATTGAGATTTAAAGTGTGAAATTTGTGACAAATTAAAATAAATAAAAATAAATTGTGAAATTTCAGATAAATTAAATTAAATTGAAAATTATTGTGGCCGCCATTCTCTGCGATTCTTATACCAAGTAGCAAATCGAGATTAAAGGGCGAAATTTCATATATCGCTATAACTTCTTGTTAAGACTTTAGCTTCTCCACTTTCTTTTAATTCTAATCAAATTAAATTTAATGTTTCTTTCAGTTCAATTCTTCTCAAATAATTATGTTCGCGGAGCTTATATTGAATAATGATTGCTTTAAACTCCATAACTTTTAATTTTAAAGAACGCTCGCCTTTGTTGTTGACTGAAAGAAAGCAATGCGTTAAAAAATAAACATATTCATAAATATTTTGTATTCATTCTTATCTAAACAATAATAATTTTGCAAATTATTTATTAAGCATTTGGTGAGAGAAAAATGTTCGTGTTGATATTATTTATTATACTTTTGCATTGGGTTGTTTGTGTTTTTTCAAGCTTGTAATGAATATTTATGGCCAATTCATTTGTTTGTTTAAATTTTCATTTAATTTAATTGGTTGTGCTTTATTTTGTTTAGAATTGTTTTGAAAGCTTGTTGCTAGGTGCTCGTCCCGCTCCGTCTGTGTAACTTCCTCGGCCATCCGAATCGACCACAGCCCACAAATTCTGGTTTTGTTTATATTCCAGCATTGCACAAATTTTTAATTGGCGTTTCCGCCACGCCACATCTAAACCCACCACCCCCCCCCCCCCCACTCCCACCCCCTCATCTTACGCTACAGCATCCACGACATGTTAATGTTGCTTATAAACTTGTTGCTGACTTTGAATACCCTTTCTTAGAGTATAATGACTGATGCCAGATGTTAGAGAGTGGAGGAATTATTATCTTCCATATACAAAAAAATAGGTTAAAATTTTTGGATAATCGCTGATAGTGGTTCCACCTCATTTAACAGATTTTTGGACTCAACAAATAGAAACTATGAGAAACCATAATATATTTAAATGATAGTAGTGTTGAAATTAAAAGAAACATCCTTAAAGTAGAATATATGTACTGCTTCCACTTTCGAAGGAATTGCTTGAAATCAATTTCACTTTATTCTCCAAATTGTGCAACATAAGAACCTTCAATCTATCGTAGAATGAAACTAACCCTCCATATAAGAACTAGAATGAAGTTCCATACATTCACTAAGTTCGTAAATATTTGAGCTTGAATTTTATCGACTTCAAAAACGGGAACAAAAGCAAGCCCTTTAAAAATTTGAAAGAGTATTTGGAGCTCCGTACTTTAAAGATCGCGGTTTTCTTGTTTTGTAGTGTAATTAAAATTTAAATGTTGTTTATCTGATACACCACATTTTACGCATTTCAGTTTTGTTTTGTTTACTCTTTCAAAACCGATATTACACACAAATTCGCTCACATATCCATATGTACATATAGTATTTGGAGCTTTACTCTATGTTGAAATTTACGAAATAATTAGAAGTGCATCATAAAAATAAGTATTATGCAAAATTAGATCAAATATTTAAAGAAATTAAAGTCTAATCTTGCGATATTTCGAAAATTAAACTATTGATACACATAATATTGAAAGAAAAATTCGAATAGCAGATAAAATAGATAGATGGAAAATAAAGCCTTATTGGTCTATAAGGAACAGAACAGTCTAGACGAACTAGAATGACAGAGGAGCCTCCCAGACTTTAAAGCTAGAATACGATGGCAAAGGTGGAAATCGCTTCGCGACCGAATCAATGTAGTGTACATAAAATTGGTATCATTAAATTCAGCCCTGTTGAGATGTGAACATCTCAAGATCTGCGACTGTCGATATACGTTCAGAAAATTATCTCTTCAATAAATAAATATTCAACACTAAACTTCATTTGATTTCAAATTTCTTTATTTTTTTCGTTCATCTTGCTTGTTTTTCTAAATATACTTTTCAAATAAAATAACAAGAAACAGGTTTTATAATAAACTTATTACTTAAAGTGTTCGTTTTTGTTGTTGACTCAAATACTCAAAGTATATAAAATTTTAGAAATTTCAATGACGGTTCTCTGTTATATTGCAAATGTTGCTTCAAAGACTAAATAATTTAAAATAATACAGCTTAAAATATATTAAAACCACTCTGCTGCTCGTAAGAATTTTAAGTGGATTAGCGTTTTCTCATCATTTTTAAAACTCTGATTGATCGAGAGCTAAGTATTGGGACCCTGGGAGATTAGAGGGGCTGTTTAAGGGACTTGAAGCCCATCACAATCTGAATATTTTATATAAGAGCAACCAGATATTAGAGCAAAGGTAATATGTCTCTTTATAGGTTGACGGAAAAATATAAAAATTTGAAAATTTAATCCATACTTTAAAGTCGTATTAACAATCGTATGGTTTTTGTTTCCTTTTGTACATTTAACTCCACCAAAAATCATAACGAGCAGCAGATATATTGACACCGACACCATTTCCTGATAGTACCTATGTATATACGATACATAATTGAAATATTTTGTGCAATGGAAATATTTCCTCGACAATATCATTCCTTTGATTTTGCTCTCAAGCATTAAAAGCCGTACATAAACATTAAAAGTAATTAAAAAACTTTGTTGGGGCTATTTAAAAGCAAATACCACATATGTATGTACCTATAGTATACGTATATATATGACTTACGAATAGGTCTGAGTAGTTCTATAAATTGTATTGCATATAAAACTATGTATGTATTTGTTACTTATTCATAATTTGTATTAGTTTATTGCATTTATTCGTTAATAAGCTGCTCATTTATTTTTTAAATAGCTACCAAACTACTTAATAGTCCAGAGACAGTCGAACCAAGAGGGATATTTTGGAATATTCGGAACTACATCTATTGACATAGCACGGGAAAATGTTGGCCACACGAACTCCAGTTTACTTGATCATTCTTTCAATTCCAGTTGATGTGAGAAGTTAAATTATGTAAGTAGTACCAATGCAATTTTTTCGTAGCACATGTTGCAGTCTGATAGAGTATTTGAACTATTGCTATTGTTTATAAACCATTGAAAGGCTTTCACTAACTCTGAAGCACATATTGGATCGGGAAAACAAAGCCTAACATACCAAATAGCATGGCTTCTATATTTGGCATATTTTGAGACATATTTTCTGTGCTTTAAAGATAGTGGGAGCTCAGCTTAATTAGTTGCTAAATAATAAAGTTGTTTAATTTGTTAATGCGTTCGAAAACATAAGTTCGTGTTGTATTGTACTTGGTCAGACAGGCAAATACTTTTACGCTCAAACCGTTGAAATTTTTGAAATTATTTCCAATTTCTTCACATAGTAAATATATTATTGCTTTTTGACATTGCAATTCTTTCCCTTAAAAATGTAAAATTTTTGCAATTATTAGTTTAGAAATATGAAAAATATGTTCAACATTTATTGACCAGCCGATCGTCTCTTAAGAATTCGCATTAAATCAGTTGAGTATTGAATATTTAAAAAATAAGAAGAAAGAAAAAAGAATCTATTTAACAAATATTAAAAAAAAAAAAACAAATTTGGTTTAACTGTCTGCACAGTTAGTTTTAAAAATAGGATTCATTAATAGATGTTTGGGAGCTTTTCGCTTTTTGTGCGTTCTTTTATTTTAACGACTTATCAGATTTTCTTCTTCCTTTTTCAAACAAATATCATATTTCATTTATGGCGTTTTTTAGGCAGCATTTCATTCAACCTTGAATTAATTTTCTTCAGTTTATATTATAGTTTGTATGTTCTCTGGTAAAAATACATATTTATGTAATTCATTCATAACTAAATAATAAAAAAATATATAAGAAATAAATCATTAAAATGTTCCACTCTGGTTTCAACATCTTCAATAATCCAAACTTGTTAATTCCTATATCGCATTGCGCTCGCTCATTTAGCCTAGAGTAGGACATACAATATGTTATACATACATTTGTTTATATATTAATATATAGATAGTTTTATATATCACTGTTGCTGGTTTATATAGAAAATATATGCAAAAACGTGGTGCCTAATCGGCAACTTGGTCCGATGCCTCCGCCGACTCCACCTCGAATACATCGTCGGACTCCTGGCCCACATAATGGTCGGCCTCCTCCTCATCGTAATCACCGTACTCGGAGGATTCACCAAGCGTCCAGGCGTCGTGCTCCACGGAGTTTCTGGGACTGTAGTTTATGCTGCCGGTGATTGTTAAATTGTTCGCCGGACGTTGTGGAGCACTGTGTGGTGGTCGCCAATCAGAATAGGAAAAAAAAAACGATAAACGTTAGTTATTACAGTTTCACGACTATATCTTCTTATTGGCGAAATTGTAGATTTTTGTAAGGCAAACAATTCTATGGTTATGCATATGTATGTGTGTGTGTGTGTTTCTATGTATGTCTACTAGATCATGTGTGTGGCAGCGAATGTTAAACTAACGACTAAGTAAGCATTTAACAGTTGATGTTTAGTTTTGTTACTGTAGTTTGTATGTGTGTGTGTGTGTGTATGAGAGAGTTCTGTTAGTTGGGGCTAATGGTTCGCAAGGTTGTTGGTGTTGTTATTATTACTGTATTTAGGTTACTCTCGTATGGCTGTGAGTGTGGGTGTGGATGTGAGTGTAAGTACAAAACAAGACAAGACAAACATTTTTACAGTTTACGAACGTTCGATAAAACTTTCGAGTAGAAAACTAGGTAAGTAATTGGTTGGTTGGTTGGTTTGTTTGTTGGTTAGATGGGTGGTTAGAAAAGGTGCATCAAATGTATGTACGGCACTCTTAATGATTTCATGATAAGTTCCTGCTGAAGACAAGTTCTCTGGAAATGAATATATTTATTGCGAACGCAAAAACAAAAAACATTTGCATTGCATTTCTTGACACGACCAGAACTGTTGACTATGTGTGAGTGAGTGGAAAGCAAGACTGAAGCCCATTTGTAACAGAAATTTGTTACATCGATATACTTAAGCCATTGCCGATTTTTAAATTCTGTACTTTTTGTGATTTGTGAAGATTTGATACATTTTTATCAGCCATGTTTTAAGTGCCGATTCTTCCCTCGTTTTCATCAAGTTTGGGAAGAATATAAATTAGAAGCATTTGCAAACTTGGTCGTACTATAAACTTTGACAAAATTCTTATCTCATGGAAGTTCGAATTTGTAAATTAAAAGAGAAGAAAAATAATTAGCATCCTTTTAAGAGATTCAACTATGATAGCTTGAAAAGCTCTTTAAAATTATTTGATGTCCTAAAGCTCAAAACTTACTCTCCGACAAATCTCTTCACCTATTATCCAAAATGTCTATCAGATGAAATCAATAAGAATTAGACCTAATAGAAAAATGCACCTTTAAGAGCCAAATGTTTATATGTATAATATTAAAGGTGGGAAGATCCTCTTAAGCGGACATAATATAAACAATTCTTTCAATTTACTTTGGTAACGAAATGTAATCTTTAAAATTATTTGATGTCCTAAAACTCAAAACTTACTCTCCGACTAATCTTTTCACCTATCTGTCTTATTTCTAAAACGTCTATCAGATGAAATAAATACGAATTAGACCTAATAGACCTAAAACTGCACCATTAAGAGCCAAATGTTTATATGTATAATATTAAAGGTGAGAAGATCCTCTTAAGCGGACATAATATAAACAATTCTTTCAATTTACTTTGGTAACGAAATGTTATATAAATAATTGATATTATATCAACTTAATTATAGACCAAGCTATGTCTCGCTGCTGATATAAAGTTTAAAACCCTCTACTTATGTACATGTCTTAATCAAAACTAAAATTGTTTTTATTATGAGCTTGTGACCCCATTTTCCAAAAACTATTTAAACAAATGGATACATTTTTACTTCATCCAAATATTATGATGGTATGATATGGCATCATATCGAGGCATGAAAGTACATACATATGGTTACGGTTTTTCAAATTTTTTTTTTTACTTTGAGCCGTCAAAAGCCTGGGGCCAAAATGAAGCTCTATGCGCAAGACAAACGAGCGAACAATATTTTTTTTTTTTTTTTTTTTTTTTGCAAAATACGATTTCCAGACAGTTGCACAAATGCGAACAAGAAAATGTAACACGAATGTAACAAATGCAATATAATAAGTAAGTAAGTACATATTAAATAAGAACTTCTCTGTTTCGATGCTAAGCAACATTTACATTTTTTGCTCTTCATTTTCCAAATGGCAGCACAGCGTATTTTTAAGCCCCGGCCTAAAAGTATGCTGCACTTCTTTGGACTTCGCTTCGTATTTCGTTGTCGTTTCAAAGGGGCAGCCAGAAAAAATTATTATTTATACTTTTTCTTCACTTGTCGCTTTATATTTTTAACTCGTTTTAAGTGGCACAATCACCGTTATCTGCTTACACCGTGTTAATTATTATTATTATATATGTTTTTTTTTCATTTTTTTATTTTTATTTGGCATGTGGTTGTTTTGATAGCAGGTTGGTTGGTAGGTCGAGTGGAAAAGTTGTGGTGTGGTTGGTGTGGCTGAGTAGATTGTGTTTGTTGTGTTTTAAATGTTTTAAAAATCGGTTACAAGCACACCCTCCGTTGGTCATAACTGTCCACGGCGATAGTGTGAGCGTGATGGTCTACAAGTAATCGTGGTATATTGGTTTTATGTGGGGAGATTTTTGTTTTGGTTTTTTGTTTGTGTCGTGTTTTATGTTCGATTGGAGTGTGGTAGAAAAAAATTAAAAGAGAAGAAAAATAATTAGCAAAATTATATATAATAACCAAAGGTGGTTCTAAACTTAAATTTGCAACCTTCTGCTAACAGCTAAGATATTTGTTTTACGTTACTGTGTACATATGTGTCTATGTCTGTGTAGATGCTGTGTGTAAGCTCGCCAATGTGGAGCATATATATATCTATTGGAATTATTCATTGCTTGCTATATGTATATAAGTAGTACTGTTAAAGTTGAAATTATAGAAAATAAAAAGTTTAGTTATGAAAATAGTATTGATACTGTTTATAGACGAAACGCATTATTACCTCTAGTCGCGAAATAACCCACAACCTTAAGCTAATAATGTAAAAAAATTAAATAAATGTTACAAATTAAATATAAATATTGAGTAAAATATAATAATTAACAGAGCGATTAAAAATTAACAATTATATGCTAATATCTCTAGTCAAAATTTCTGGGTATTCATATTCATTCACTAACGATTGCTAAAAATTGTTAAATGGGATTAAAAAATATGCTCATAATTAATGGAATATACAATTGTGATTTGAATAAAAGGATCCATTGGGCCGCTTTCGTCTCTGAATTACAAATAACTTTCATTAAAGGATTGGAGTTATACTAGCACGTATAAACCACAATAGTGAGCCTGACACTTCAACTTACTTTGACAAGAAGTTTTTACAAGAAGGTTTTACAAACACAAAAATCAAAATCCCACCTCTATTCTGATCTTGAAAAATAGATTATATGTGTGTGAGAATATCATTCATTGTTATGTTTGCATTGATTATATATTTTCTAGCAACTAAATAAGCTTTACTTTCATCTCATTATAGTGTTATCAATACCTTATAAACATTCTCCAATATCAAAAAGCTTATATCTGTAGGAAAAATATGAACGAAAGGTAAGTGAACCTTTGCATATTTGATAGAAGAACGTTTTCGGCGATTATTCAAACTTAAGTCTTTTAAATATCCCTTATATTCTATGCACTTAATGCGACATAAAGGCTCGTTTTGTGTGGGATCTGGTACTAAAATCAATCTAAAATAATCCTTACTGCATACTTAGTCCTATGTATATGTGTCTGTATGTATCTTGATGGTACACCCAACCAAATTACCTTTCGAACGGCATATCTGACATATCAGCGAGTTGGCGTTGCGCCTGCGCTCTCCTTGCCTCTTCTTTCTTGCGACGATCTTCGGCCGCTGCTTTCATAGGATCGTAGGTGGAACGACGCTTCCACATGGCCATCTCGGCCTCCTTTTGCTTATTCACTAAACGAAGGAGATGGACTTAATTAGCAATGATCATCGAAATCTCAGTTCAAACACCCACCAGAGGCATCACGACGGACTGCGGACGACGCACGGTTGGCAGTGGAGCCGCCTAATGAATTGGTGCTAGAATTCATAACTGAGGCAGCGGAGCGTACACTGCGATTGCTGGCCCTTGTCGCATCGCCACGGGTTAGGCCCATCGATGAGGCACTCGGACTGCGCTTCATCTGTTCCGTGGGCTTTAGCGTGCTTTTGGCATCGTTCTTGCGCAGAAAGTTGTTGGACTGTGCTGACTTGTACTTGGAGATGTCCATATATTTTGGCTGTACCCGCTGATTGGCCGTCTGCAACAATTGCTTCTTGGCGCTGGCCAACGAGCTGGGCACCTGCTGGGCCAAACGACTTAGACTTGCCTCGCGCGGCATGGACTGACGATTTTTGACGCCCACACCAGTGGTCGTGGCACGCGGTGCACTTTTGATACCACGTCGTGGTAGCTCCGGAGTATTCGGACAAGCCACCAAGCCGGCGGCTTGTGCTGCAGCTTGTGCGGCACTCAGCTTGCCCGCAGGCGCAGAGCTGGGCTTGACTTGAGAGTGACTCATGTTCGGAGCAACCCCGGCGACGCGTTGTTTACTGCGTTCAATCCGCATGAGCAAGGCCTTATTTAATCTCGTGTTGCTCAATGGCACTGCCTCGGTTGTTGCAGCCGCTTCATTCTCCTCCTCCTCGCCACTGGAATAGTAGGCACCGGTGGTCCCCATTTCATCCTCATCGTTGATGTAGTACTGCAGTTCGTTGTCGTAGTCGCTGTAGGCCTGATCGAAATTGTTGCTGCTGGCGGATTTTTTGAGCTGCGTACTATACTGCTGCTGATGGCGGGCGGCTGGCGGCGTGTACAGGTTTTGGAAGTTGGGTCGCGCCTGCCTGGGCGGCTGCTGATGATGTTGGTGCTGTTGTTGATGCTGGCCCAAGATTTTCGCTGCCGAGAAGGAGCTCGAGCGACGCAGCGGCGACAACGAGGCAGAAGCTGAGGCTGGCTCTCGCGATGTTTGCTTAAGGGGCGAAACGGGAGATTCCATCACCTCCACATCATCCAGCGAGTTCTTGCGCTGACGCATCTGCTTCAACAGATAGTCACCGCTAGTTAGCAACTGCAGCTGCGCCTCGTTGATGCTGCTGGTCATCAGCGAATCGCGGGCAGAGCGTCCGCCCTTTGAGCGATGCAGGGGCGAGCGCCGATACCCGACACCCGCCTCCAGACTATGCTGGGGGCTGCAATGTGAGCCCGAGTGTGCCGGCGATTTGATGGAGCTCTTGCGCGACAGCGACTGCTGCAGATTGCTGATGGCGGCCGCCGTCTGCTCCAGATAGGCATCGGGCGGGATCGCAGCTCGCGAGCGGCTGGCACTGCGCGCACGTCCCAGCGTGTGCAGCGGTGAAGGAATTTTGCTGGGACTTTTGGGCGGTTTGTATGGCGGCTGCTGATCATTGTTCGGGCCAACCCCATGACTGCACAGCGCTGGATCGCTGGCGTAGTCACAATCGCCAAGCAGGCGATAACGCTCGGCGAGTGTGCGATTCAGCTTGTTCGCATACTGGCGTTGTTGGTTATAAAGACTATCGTCGGTCAGAGAATCGGCACCCGTGTCCGAGCAATTGTAGCTGCGCGTCATTAGCTCCTGCGAATAGAAAACGGGACATGTTTATATAAAGAATAAAAGATATCCCGACAAGCTCTGAATTTCATTTTGTATTTTTTCAATCCTAGCAGCAATGTTGAAAGGAAAAGGCAGATCTATGCCACAAAATATTTTAAATATATTCCGATATATACTATTAAGTATATTTATGGATGTCTTCTCCCCCAGATTTACTCACATTTTGTGCTGCCTGCTGTTTGCGCCGACTGCTGCTCACATCTTGCGCCAGGCTTCGGGCTCGCGCATTGCGCGCCCATTCCTGAATCCAGTCCTGTTTTGTCTGTGCCGTTTGCAGCAGTGCCGTATCCGACAGCTCCTTGCCGTGCAGTGACGGCGCTGTGGGCGTGGTGGGTGTTTCTGGCGGTGTGGCCAACAGCTGACGTGTCGCCGCATACTTCGACTCCTGGGGTGTGCGCTGATGCGTGGAGGTAGTGAACACATTAAGGCGATACTCTGCCTTCTGGTGATCGGTGGCCGTGCCCGCCAGGGCCTGGGCATGCCGTATCTTTGCCTCGTTGGTCACATACTCGGAGCTGTCGATTTGCGATGTGGACAGGCTGTGGGTGTGTCGTATCAGCTTAGGATGTGTGTCCAGGGCGCGTTGCTTAGCCAGCACACCGCTGGTCGTGACACTCGTAAAGCAACCGACATCGGCATCGGGCGTGTGCGGTGGTTGAAGCGCTTGTTGCTGATCCTTCGGGCACATGTTGCGCAACACACGTGACTTCACTTGCTCGAAGTAGGCCCCGGCGCTTGGATGTGAGCCCAGCATAAGCTCATCATCCAGTTTGTTGGCCTTGGTGCCTGGCTGCGACTTTTGTTCCTGCAACGGCGTCTCATGGTAATAGTTCACCTCGAGGACATTACTGCCCCGATTCGTTAGTGCCGCGGAGGACGATTTGACCGCGAGCTGTTTGGGACGCTGTTTGGCGGCCTTCGCCGCATTCCGATCGATGTTCATGAGATCCTTTTGCTCCTCCGTGTAGTTATCGCCATCGAGCGTGTAGGTGCCCGCATCGCTCACTGCGTCTGCCTCCATTTCGTCGTTGTGCCGCTTAACGTCTGCCAACGGGGGGCAAATTAGATCCACCTGTTGCAGCGCCAATTGCATTGCAGTGGAGCGTGGCGTGAATTGCGTGCGATTCGCCAGCGTATTGGCAGCGCCTTTTGCAGTAGCCGGCGGCGGTAGCAGCTTTGTTTTGGCAGAGCGTCTGGGAGCCGCTGTTGGCGTTGGTGTTGAGTCAGTTACATTGTTGGCAGCACTGCTGGAGCTGCGCGGCGACCAGCTGTGACGCTTGGAGGCGTCACGAACACGCGAGGCACTGCGATCGCGCAGCTTTACCTGTGCTGACGAAGTCGTCGTTGACGATTGCCGCACTTCGGTAGGTGTGGCTGCAACAGATCCATCATCTGCGATACTACTGCTGGCATCTATGCTGCTGCGCTGGGAGTGGCGACCAGTTGATGATGTCCCTCCCTCGCTCTCCAGCTTTGACATGGAAGCGCCACGTTTGTGCCGATTCTGGAAACGCTCCATCATGCTCTTATATCGCGCCGCCTGCGTTGCTGCATCGGCCGTATCCTTAGTATCGAAATTATCAATCGTAAAGGCCAGAGATTGTTTTGTTGTCGTCGTTGTGCTCGATCCTATGGATTCGTCCTCATCTTGCCCCCGATCATCTTTATTGTTGCTGTTGCTGTTGCTTGACTTTTCACTATGTTCCACATTGTGATCGCTATTGTTGCTGCTACTGTGACCGGGACTCGGAGCGCTCAGAGCTACTGAAATGGAGCCAAGCAGAAGCAAAAGAGGCACAATTAAATTAGCATTTATTTACAGTTGTTATTATCATTTACGCGGTGAAAACGAAACGAAACTAAATTAAACTGAACTCAGCTCAACTCAAGTGAAGTGAATAGCAAGTGAGAGAGTACAGGAGCGGTTCAGGGTAAGCAAGGGAATTATAAGTACTAAACAGAATTATTTAAACAAATGATTTCGGTCTGCAAGACTTTATTGACATATTTTTCTGTCTGAAAACTACATATTTAAATCTAGTTGATCGATAAAGTTTTAAATCATATACGTATTTGTTGCCCTTATACAAGTAAAACAAATATCTCCGAATTCTTTGGGAAGCACAACATTACTGGACAATCTTTCTTCTAGTCTTATATTGAGTTTATTGTTGAGGGTCTTAAAACGTTTTGTTATTAACTGAACTATTTATCCAGCATTTTAGACTAGACATCTACACCAAAGATCATAAATAGCCCTAATTGAGGAACGATTGCCTGCGCCAATCCGGCACTGCTTCCTAAAACATTTTCTATGCATTTCCGCGGCGCAACAAAAGCAAAAAATAGAAAACACAAACAATTTGCTTTCAACTTTGCCAAGCGAAGTGGCACGTCGACGATCCATGTGGTCGGCCACCCGTTTTGGCGGTCACTTGCTGGAGCTGTGCGTGCTCGTGATCTCTGGCAGAAGCCCCACCACCGCACATGGTGCATCAACAACTGAAGGTTAGAGTTCGTTGATTTCGGACAATTTTCTATTATTGTTGGTGTTGGGCGTCTTGCCAGGGGAAATGAAATTCGGCTGTTACGCTCAACGCCCATAGCTGGCCCCGAAACTTTTTGATTTCAATTGCCACGCACGTGTCTTCCATCCAAATGGAATCGAAATGAAAATATTTGAAAAGATGACCATAATAACGATTTCACTATAATTTGGTCGGTCGATTTCTTGGTTTTTGTTTTTGGCCAAGAACCATTAATTTTGACACCAATTATTCTATTACGAACCATAGCAGCAATAATAGAGGAAGTGAATTAGAAGCCAAGGTACCGATCGTCCGATTCTCAAAAGGGCAAATATGTTGCTTGATTAAAATTAACCTTATGATTGATCAATCCATTAAAAAAAGCAATTATGTTCAGAAGAAAATTGTGAAAGATTGTGCCGTGACCTTTGAGCGCATGTTGGGCTCTCTTTCAAAAAGAAAACACATTCGTCGGGAAATTCGAAATTAGACTATTAGTCCGTATGGCTAAGAAAAGTGTAAAATTTATTAAACTAAAGAATTGAAAAGCAAAGATGTTTGGAATTTTTATAGAAGAAATATAAAAGTTAACAAATAATCCTCATTATTCCGTCTCACTTTTTTTTAGTAAAGCCATCAGCGAATTGTGCTTTAAGAAAAAAGAATTGGACATAAAATACCCCCAATTCCCTATAGACATCCTGTTTCCTTTCAGATTATGAATAAATAAATATCTTTATAAACAGAAAAAGTTACCCAATAATTGATTATTCGATCGATATACAAAAAACAAGGCTATATATGATTTGTAATCAACTGACTCTTGTCCTTACACATAGTCACATGTCAAGCTACTATGTTTGGTGCTCGTAGCTATTATTTTAGGAACAGGTCAGTAACATGTGATATATAGTAGAATTAAAAAATGCATTCCCTGCTAAAAATATATAATTTATTTTGCAAATTTCCGTCTGAGTCTCAAGCATTCATAGTATGACTATGCTTCTCATTATTAACAGATAATAGTATAGCTTTTGTCAAGAATTCAAACACATTAATCAAATTACTTTCTGAGCCGTTATCTGGGGCAGCAAAATTATAAGTTTTATGTCAGACCCATTATGTGCCGTTTAAGAGAGAAAATTATACATAAACAAAGCCCGAAGACATTGCAGAATTCTTGAATAGCCACTTCAATAGACCAACATTCACCTGTTAATCAAAAACACATTAATATTTACACCTCCGCGATCTACATTTAATCAATTCTTTTCTTCAGATAAGTGCATAATAATATCCTCTTACTCTTCAAAAGGTGTCAATGGATGACCGCAAAATGATGACAGTCGTTGACTTCGAACTTTCTCTGCCGTCATCAAATCCAATAATGTAAAAAAATTTATTTGCATATGTAAAATGCCAATAAAAATTTGTCATAAATAAATACGTATAGTATTTTTAAGCATTTAATTTGTTCGCCTCTTGTTGCCAAGCTGTATTTAAAAGTTGCCAAAAACGATTTCCCAAGCTCGAGCATTTTTGGCAAACATGACGCCATTTTTTTCAAACCACAACTTGTTTAGTCTAATTAAAAACCAATTGGTGGGTGAGTAACGTGTTGCCAATTATAGTTAGTCGTCATGTGTCAAAATTAGGCATCGACAGTGATAAAATTGTTATCGATTTCCGTTTATTATGAGCTCTCGATCGGCTTCAGACCGCCCGAGTCAAATGAAACAGGCGTTGCAAATTTGTAAACTGAATTGTTTATGTTTGGCACAAAACGCAATAGTTTCCTTAGCCAATACCAACAAAAAAAATAAAACCAAAAACGGCACGATGCCCAATTTCCTGCGGTCGATTTTCGAAAGCAAAACAAAACAGCTAACAAAATTAGGTGTAACAACAAAGCCGCATTCAAACACACATAAACATACATACATTTATTGTTGGCCTTTAGCAAAATAAAAAGTAAAAGCGCCATCGACAATTGTAACAAAAGACAAACTCGAACATTTGCACATATTGTGGCCGCAATTTCAGGTGGCTTTACAAAACGACACCCACTAACGAGCAACGGCAGGGGAAGGGGAGCGGAGGCAGCCGCCTGGCCGGTGAAGCAAAGACATTTTGCCATGCACAGTGGTCAGCGTAATTGCTGTGCTTCTATTCGAGTGCACATGTCTACAGACATACTATAGATACATACATATATTTTACAATGCTTTGTATTTGAGGAAATCAGTTGAGTGACATCGTAAATTGTATGTGTGGCCTAACAAGCGAAAAGGGCTCATATCTGTCTGTAATAAAGTTGCATGAATACATACATACATACATCCATACATACATCCATACATAGCACATATGAATAACAAATTACAAAAGAACTATAGCATGCGGACTATATGTCATTCATATGGTTGGGAAAATGCACATATCATTAAAGTAATTTTAAGTTGGAATAAGCTTATTAAACATGAAAAGCATAGTTTTAGAAATAAATGTGTTTATTAGAGCTGAAAATGATTCTTGCCACTTAAAAGAAATGTGAAGCCATCAAATAAGTTATTACAGTGACGACAAAACAAAGTAAGTATTTACCTAATTGCGCTTTGGAGTTTTGAAATTAGTGTGAGGAATTTAAAATCTGATATACATAAATGAATGCATTCCTAGACTAAGTGCCTAATAATAATAATAAAAGCGTCGCGCCAGTAATATTTTTTGTATAGCAATAAACAAAGTTTATTTATCTCACAAATACAAAAATATATAAATAATGAAAACAACAACAAAAAAATCGCAAAAGCTTATTTATCTCAAAGCTATATCATGCTAAATACATTGAAGTTTTTAAACAAGATTCTTATGCGATTACTTCAATTTTTGGTTACATCCGCAAAAATTTGACTCAACATAATTTTAAATAAACCAATATTTTTAAACAATATTTTTGAAGTTTTAAGAGATCAATAAAAGCATATTTGTTACACATTTGACGAATGTTATAAGTTTAAAAATGTATATTAACACTCTACTTTTCATATCGATGATTAATAAAGTATTGTTAACTATAGGTAAGCAGTTTCGTGTGTTTATCTTTAATTTCACCTTCACATACATTTTACGCTGTCAAAAATTAACTTTATTAAAAAACGAATAAAAAATGTGACTTGAAAAACAAGAAAACTTCTAAGAAGTTATATTCATTATTATCGTCGCGCTCTTTTAAATAAACTTTCAGCGAACTTCTAAAAGTATTTATTCTGTGACAAATACACAGAAATTTTGAGTTAATTTTGCTAATTTGTTTTTACTAAATAAGAGTTCATAATAAATCAAATATTTGATTACTTTTTCGTTGAATGTTGGCCAAAATGATTGATTTGAACATATTTTTTAAAGGTCCCACAAGAGACGAAAACTTGTTTTGTTAATTTTTCTAAAAATTGCATAAATACTAGGTTTGAAACGTATGATTCCAAACAAATTCTTATGATTGGTGAAATAAACCAAAAACAACTGAAAAGGACCATTTATACGTTCAAGTTCCGCTTTCACAGTAAAGCAATTAATAATATTTACCAATCAGAAAGAATTAAAGACACACATTTTCCAATGCTTTAGCTTTGTGTTCGGTTATTATTTCAAATTATTAGGTAGGTGTACATAGTACAAAATAATGGCACCTAACTAAAAAAGTCATGTAAAAACTAAAAAATAAAGAAGTAATGTAAGCGAAGAAATATAGACTACTTAAAAGAAATTGACCCAAGACAAAAAACGTCTCAAAATTGAGTTTTTTGGATGACATAACTGCACTATTCTGCGACGTAAGCTCTATTGATTTTTGAGTACATGATAGACATTCTGGATCTCAATAAAGCGTTTATTCGACACCTTACGTTGCGCTTCGATCTTAGCTTTATACGGATGATTAATTTTCGAGAGCTTGCGATAAGCGACTGTCAACTCTCCCTCCATTGCAGCCCAATCCATTGCAGCCCAATCCAATCGTCTACTTCAATTTCATTGCTTTTGAGATCCCTTTGATATTGAGGCTTGGCATAGACGTATCTTTCGAGCATCTCTTGCTTCAGATCACTGCATTTTAGAATTCGGCTTAAGGTAATTGCTGAGCATGAATACTAAATCAATGCATTTCTGATTTAAATTCAATTTCAATGAGATGTTCCTATAAAAGACGACCCCAATCATTACCGCCAGCTTTTCTCAGGCTTAGAACATTATAAGGATTATCGGGCATTCGTATATATTTATGACCAAAAACCTCAAGCCGAAAAGACAGTTATATTTTGTATTTTCATAAACAAAGCTGACGTTTCAGTCAACATTCGATCAACTTTAATCGGACATTGAGAAAACGGGCCTTACACAATAAACAAAAATTACATTTATTTACTATAAAACACTCATACATGGCTACATACAAGACAATCCGCTGTCTTTCTCAATCTATAGTGACATAATCCTCAATTCAAGCCGACAGCCACACTTCAGTTGTAAGACACATGGTCGGGCCACGGTATAGCGACTGCTTTGATCTCTCTCTCTGTCTCTCTTTACTCATAGATATGCGATTTCATAACATTTTTGAATTGTTCGTACACAACCTGACAGTAGCTACAATTGACTTAAATTAATTTTTGATGTATTTAATTTGATTTCTTTTATGCTACACGATCTTTTGCGATAAGTGTGGATGACTAAGCGTTGATTTTTAGCGGCTGGCGTGGATTTGATTGACGGCACAGCGCGCTTGATCGTTATTGATATTGAAGATTTTTGGCATATTTTATACATTTGCTAGAATAGACAGATACCAATTTTTATTTAAGGCAGACCAGACGCGCACTTTGTAATACACTTGCTAAACGTACTTTAACTTTAATGGCCGATATGGAATCTTCAACATTACCAAATCTGTTTCCATTTCGAATCTATTTAACATTTGTATAAAACAACCTTATTTCGATTAATCTAATCATTTTGAAGCCAACACTGTTTAAACAAATTTAAAATTCAACTAAAACTAGTGTTTTATTTTTGGCAATGTTAATCATTATTTTAATCTCATCCCGATAAATCTGATCGTTAATAGAGTTACCGTTCAACAACTCATCACCCATATGAATAACATGTTTATTAAATGCTCGACATTATTAAGTCTTATTCCATTATGAAACATAATTAGTTAGTTTTTCTGCGACTAATATCAAATTGCTTTTTTAATGTCAACCCTTTTAAATACCCAATTCGATTATATGACTTTTCTTTATTGTAGAATTTATTTGGCAATAAATAGTATTAAATTGTATATTATCTACAATAAAAAAAATCTGTGCAGGCTCTCATTTAAATGTTTACTAAAATAAAATACAGAAATACTCTGAAGAGCTCCAATTTATTAGACAACTGTCTAAATAATTAATCCAATTCATTTCGGAAGGGTATAAAATCAATCGCGTGCCGTGTTTGTAAACATTTTGGAAATCTATAGTATTTGTGGGCAATCTGCTGAGCTTTTAATTAAACATTTCTGATATGTTTATACTCGAATGTACCATATACATACATACATGCGCCGAATTGGAATGTACTTGTAGAACGCCTTTGCAAAAACAAATGCTGTTATGAATTGCTTTCTCCACAAAAAAGTGGGCTGAGTTAACAGAGTTTCATAGAGAACTCAGCTGAATAAATCAGATGTGGACACCGGTCTTAATATATCAGATGTTCTGGGTTAATTATTGGAAATATGTAAATCAATTTTTAAATAAGAAGTTATTTTTGCAAAGTATATGAATATATGAATACATACTATATATAGAAAACTGAAGACATTTTCCAAAAGCTGTATTGGATTGTTTCATAAAACTATTCTAGTAAATAGTTGGTGATGATGTTAATTAATTGAGATGTGATGATCCTTCTTGCTTAATTATCGTTTATCTTTGATTTTTTCTACGATAAATCATACTAATATACTTGTAAATAGAGAACGGGTCGATATAAGTAAACATATTACGCACCCGCTCGTCAATCCATAAAGCTAACTCAAATTCGTTTCAGGTACTTTTTTGTCACTCTTTTTGCTGTCCAACCCCTTCAATATTGACCAACTAATCTGATTATAAACATATGTACATATTGCTTTAAGCGTTTTGGAACATTGTATATAAAATTGTAAATAAAACTAAGTAATTTTTCATACTTCCTGCTTCTTTTTTATATAAGTTAAATTAATAGTTTTAGCCTTTAAGTTACTGTTAATAAATTTGCGCGAGTTGTCAAAATTGTGATGTGCACCAAAAAGTTGTTCTTCAATTAATCATTTTCTACAACATACGATATATTGTTATATCAATCACTGATTTGTTTGATTTAACATTTTTATATGCCAAAGAGTACGGATATAAAAGTTAACAGATGTTCCAGCGAACTGGTTCAATCGTTTTATCAAATAAATCGCATCAATATACATTTTTAACGTTATTCAATTATACATATTTTCTAGTTCGAACAGTTAAAAGCATCTCTTGCTGTTTTGTCCCACTGTACTATTCTCATTTCTTTGTGTGTTTTTGTCATGACTAGTGCAATAAATATTTGCGCTTAGCCGTGGCCAAAACTTAAAACACAAACAAACACAGGCACACACTAAATAACTTCATTAAAAATTCAAATTAAACGCATGAGACAAGCAACAAGCACTACCAACAACATCAACAACAACAATAACGACAACAACCACACACAACTCATGAATAATGGCTGTGCAAATTGGCCTCTCCCGCTGTTGTTAATATTGTTGTTGTTATTGTTGTCATCATGCTGCTGTTGCTTTTTTTGTCAAAACGCTTGCGCTTACCTTTTTCGGCCGGCAACGGCGGTGGCTTGCCAAGACAAAACTTGACGTTTGACTCATCGATGGCAGCTCCGAGTCCGACAAGGCTGGCATTGTGATGCGTATTGTTGGCATGGGCGAGACGGCTGGCGGGGGCGGCATGTGGTGAGTTTGGCATTACAATTGCCTTATCACCGATTATATCGGCTATCTTCTTAATGTTCTCCGGCGTTGTGTCGATCTTCTCGCGTCCATCGGAGCTATCGTCGTCGTCGTATCTGGACGGACTCTGCTGATTGGACATTTGTTTGTTATATTTGCGGTTGACTGTTGCAGGGCTCGGGCTCAGTGAAGTAATGTTTGCACCACCTGCAGCAATTGTTGCTGCTGGCGTCGATGCCGATGAGTTTGTTGTTGTTATTTCTGCTGGTGCTGCTGTTGTATTTGTATTTGTTGGAGTTGCTGCTGCTGTGGTGCTTGTGTCATTTGCGTATGATGTCATATTAGGCGGAGGCAGCAGCAGCAGAAAGCAGCTTGTGGCAGTCGACTCCTAGTTTGTTGGTTGTAGCTATTTTTGTGTTATGTTACACCTTTTTTGTTGTTGTTTGTGTGCCGCTTTTCTCTTTTTAATTAGTTAATTAGTGAACGTCATGCCTAAATGTCGTTTCTGCAATGTCGCTCCATTTTCTCGACTACTTTTTCTGCTACCTTTTTGGCAGCTACGCTAAAACCTTGCTGCGTATTGTGCGTGGAACAATTCGTTTCGTAGGCAAATTCCTGCACGCGTTTCTTTCTTATCTGCCTGTTGTTTGAGGTAGTTATGAAAAGAAATGTGAGATACATACATATGTATGTATGTACGTCGCATTGATTGCTAAATTACATAAACACGCCCGTGTTAATGACCACAAAAAGGCATCGGCATCAGACACCAAAAAGTTCAATTGTTCTAGAGTCTCGAGTCACTTGCTGATGCTTTTTATTCTAATGGACACACATGGACAACCATTCAGGCGCTTCACATAAAAATAGCCAACAGCGACGACGCTGCCTTTTCAAGGTTGCTTTTGTTGTTTCAAACAGAAAAAGTAAGGAACTTAATCGAATATTCGGCGTGTTTTGTGTTTTATTTTTACATCAAACATTTTTGGAACCGCCTCAGTTTAAGGCACTCATTCACCAACACATATACACGCACTTGCACATAAGCTGTGTACTTCAAGGGCGCCGTCCACATTGGCCACTTTTCATTGCATTTACACACTGGCCCTGGCGTAATTGATAATGAACTTTTTATCTTTTTAGTTTCATTGTGATACACATTTCATTTCTTCACACAACCACGACGCACTTGATGTTGGCCACACGCTGTCCAAACGCTTACTCACGCAAATACAGTTAAAACTGAAAAGTCTTAACAGCCGTCAACATCGCTCCTATGTATGATTGTTCATGTTGGCCATAAGCACAATGTGACGTATGGTAACAGAGAGCATACGTAATATGGAGAGAAAGAGAACAAAGAAGCTCACAAACAGCTGCCGCTCAAAAGAGGGAGTTTCCTCTGAGTGAGAAACCGACGGTGTTGCCACCTGTTAAATATTCGTATGGTAGGCAAGCAGATAACACACGCACTTCGATTGCAGGTATGAAATAACTAAAACATAATATGCTGTAATTAGTTTCTTAAGACTGGCTCAATTGACGATATTGTGGGATATGTTGGATTTGTCAATAATAACTACAATAGATTAAATTTTAATGCTAAGGCTTGAAGTTGCTTAGAGAACAAATATGCGTGCGCTCAGAAATATACATTAATATACATATTTTTAATATTCTGACAAACTGACGGACATTGCATGAAGACTTTCTGCTGTAAAAAATCCACTTTCTTAATATTGTAATTTTTCGAATTTTCCGCCTTCTGTTTAAATATCGTAGTATCTGGCAGCGCTGCTCTCAATCTCTCTCTCTATTTCTCCCTCTCTCTATTGCGCTCTACGCACACTCTCTCAACATTGATTGTTTTTGACCATTCCGAGACAAAACACGGACCCATTGTAATTAACTCATTGATAATTGTTAGCAAGGCGAGCGAAACTCATAACACACAAATCACTGCAAATTAGCCATACAAATGCTTTTGAAATCGAAACATAACGCAACTGCCAGCGGGCACCTAAAAATTCACGCCTGAATAAACACGCCGCATTGCCGTCGATGACGTCGATTTTGCAGGCAGTGCACACGACAGGTGGCCTTGTTCCAAGCTGTTCTTTCTATTTTTAAAATGCGTGTGCCGTTCACTCTCACTTTTTACTTGTTATTCGGAGGGAGAAATAAGCTCAGCAGGTGCTACATTGGAAATTTTAAAATAAATAACTGTTGTTCCAGCTGAACTGAAGCTGATCGGTATTGTTATTTTTCGTGCGGCAGCCAAAAACAAAATCAACAACAATGACGCGAATAAGATAACAAGAGCGCGGTACTGCCACACAAACACTATTATTCACATAGCTACGGTGCTCTATGGCGCGCACGCTCTCGCGCGCGTTTGTATTGGCATTTTTTTTTTTGTTGCCCCACGATTTTTTCTTTACTCTGCACTTGTACCACGCTGAGTTTTAGACGTTTTATCTACAACTTTAGCACACAATAATATTCAATTTTCCAATTGACATTAATGGATTATGGTTTGTTCTGAACTTTGACACTATTTGTTTTAATTTTTATTGGTATTTACTTGCTAAACAAAGCGAGAAAATTAAAGCGCTACAGGAATTGCAAACTTCTTCGGTTTGTTGTGCCAATCAGACTGCACAGCCTGACTCATTAAAGTGCGCACTCTCGCTCTCTCGGAGTGCTGCCATCTGACATGGCGTTTGGGATTTTTGGACGAAAATTCGACATTGGCGCGATTTTTAAATAATGTATCCAGATAAGACAATTTATTTAAATAAGAGTTAGTTCCAATCATTTATTTTAAAATATGGTGCATAGCGTTGACTATATAGGCCATCAAATGCCAAATTATTGACCAAAGAAGCATGTTTTATTATTCTTCGGGTTGGGAGAGAATATTAAAAACACAATGTTACGCTGGCTCCCTGATGTTACAATTGCACTTTTTGCATATGCGAATCGGAAAACTGATATTTGAATTTTTCTGAGCAGCAGTATTTTCAGTTATTTAATGTACCTTATTGATTATTCAAAAGTGCCTAATTTTTATCGTTTAATAATATTTATCATCTGAATAGACATTTTTACCTAAATTCTATTTAAAAAGACTATTTTTAATCAAATAAATTTGCCTATCACGGGCATGAAAATCTTACGGAATCAGTCAGTTTTTGTGGGCAATTCACAACCTTAATTTAATTAGACTCATGTACTCGTACTTTCCTGTCCTGCGCTGTGATATTGATTCTATAGCCAGCAGTGTTGGTCGTAAAATCTATAGCAGATAACTGAGATAAGCGTTTGGAGTGCGCCCCACGTTGTTATTTAAAGACATAAAAATTCACACACAAATTCTCAGTAGAAAATTTACTGCATATTTCTATGGCGTTCGGAATGACAAATTATTAAAATCTTTGTAGTCAGTCATAAAAAAATCTAAGTATATATCTATCTATCTAATAAAATAAAATTTTAGGTCTTTATCTGAACGATGCAAAGAGGATTTAAAAGATTGTCATATGTAGTATAATGCTGAGGGCTCTCTACAAGTTGATTAATTTTTCAGGATGGGGATGATCGAATAGCTGGCAACTTTTCTTCCATTTATATTTATGTGAGTTATCTATATAGCTTCCATACAATAGATTGGTGATTAAATCACTCTTAGTAGGATAACTTTGTTGATTGTAACGATATCTTAAGAACCTTTTGTGTACTTACATGAGTTTCTTATAGTAGCATCATAATATGCAAGAGTTTCATCAAAATCGGTTCACCATATCATATACTTTCTAAAGGAACAAACGGTTTCGGCTTAATGTTCTATCATATTCTAAACTAGAACATGTATCATCATCATATATGTATATTGTACATAACTGGCATAAATTAATTTGACAGGACTATAACGTTCTACTCGTTTCGTAAAGGTTTATTTATTAACTTAATATAATATCCCAAAATTTATTTACCAATGAGTTATATAAATAATTGCTAAATAACAAATTTGATGTGCTTTTATTGATTTTTGGGAAATGCCTTATACTAGTAGACTGTTTTATGAATTCGTAGCCACAATTAGTTCTAAATTGATAAGCAAACATTGTCAATAGCCTCATAGTTGCGCAATAAAAAAATGGCTTCCGTATACTTAGCTCCGATATATACGAAAATTTAAAAGCATTTATGATAAAACACCAACAGTCCCTTAATTGGAGTCGAAGTATTTCCGGTGTTTCATGTTTGATATCAGTAGAAAGGCTCTCTTGAAAATTTAAAATTGTATTTATTCAGACATAAAGTGGTATGTATATAGTCGTATATATTAGCTTGTGTATTTGCATACATAGGCCTCATACACATTGCAAACAGTGGCGGATTGCAAAAGAACTTACACAACTAATAAATAAAAACAGAGCGGAATACAAACAGTGGCGCGGCCTGACTAAATGCCTTCAAAGCTGACGCGAGCGCCCTTACAAACGTACATCGTACAATCGCAACCTTTTCTGTAAGTAGGTGTGTATGTATGTTATGCACATAGTGGTTCTAAGTTGTATGTGTGTGTCTGTGTGTACATAAGTATATATGTATCTATATAAAAGCAGTTATCGTGTTTCAGCGGATCGACGCGAACTGATAATGCAAAGTTAACATGGAAAACACATATAAAAATCTAAACTGGATTGGCCATTGGGAATGCTTAAATTATTAATCATCTTTGATGACATTGGAGGGGCTCTATCGACCATTCCAGTAGCAGACGCGTCCGTTCTCGAAGGCCAGATTGATACGCGGATATGGCAACGGCCTAGTCGGTTGCAGAGGTTCACGCAGCTGCGCAGGCGTAGCTGAATCATCCTCAAAGAACAAGCACTGTCGGACAAATTCCAGCAATAGCGTCTGTGACTGTGCTGCAGAAGCGGGCAGGGCCTCCAGATTATCATCGCTGCATAAGTTGCGAACTAGCTGCTCGCATATGCGCGTGTTGCTGTCCACATCGAAGAGCGGCACTCCGAAATTAACGTCAAGCAGTGTCCACTCCTCTGTTCCGGGCTCCTGCTCCTCCAATAAAGACTCTGACTCTGGAGCTGCTGGGGACAGAATGGGAATCTCTACAGAGCTCTGCGAGATTAGCTCAGCACGGCTGGCATTGTCGCTACACTTGGCCACTTCGCTGGCCAGCAATTCAGTGCAGTCCGCAGAGATGTATTCGCTGGCTGGTCCATGCTCCGGTGAGGCCGCAAAGTGGTTCTCATCAGGGCTCTTCAGTTGAGAGCCGTTGCGAGTAAAGCTTGTAAGTTCGCCAGGCGATAGAAGCTCCGAGCCCGGCGTCGTCACTGTTGTCGTCGTTGCGTTTGGCACATTTGTTTTCGTCGCACAACCCGGACGCTTCTTCTGGGGCAGTTTCAGCCTGACCTGCAACTCATATTCTTCGCAGCCCAGGTCTGGAACGCCCGTATTAAGGAATGTTATGTAGCCGCATTGCTGCTTGAGATCCAGATGCGAGGCCAGCTTCTGCACGGCTCGATGTGCAGCCCACTTGGCCTGACGGACATCATCGGCCTGGAATGGAAAGGATTCGTAGTGCAGAGTACCAGGCGCACGAATACCATAGCCTTGAAGCAACACACAACCATTCTTAAGCTGTTCGTTGATGTTGCGAAAGTTCTCTGAATTGAGAACATACGAATCGGAATGCAAAATGTTGACCAGCAGTTTTCCATAGCCGAGGAAGAGGCGCGGCAACGATTTGAGCACTGTGCCCCGACAGATGAGCAGACTGGGCGGTCCATACCCTTAGAACACATGTGGAATAAAATTTGCATACATTATTATTGTAGAATGTAACTTTTAAATGTTGAAAGAACCTAGTTTTTTAGGGGAAGGAAAAAATTTTGTACACAAATTTTTCGAACTTTACAGGTAAGTCATAGATAAATGTTTTTTTAATTGAAATCAACAATTGCGGCGAATAAACGTTATCAATTATACAATTGAAGGGACTACATATGGTTGGTTATCTACTTACCGGTGATATGGTTGTAGAAAAGTTTTGTCCACATCGGTGCAGCATCGGAGCTGCGCAGAAATTGTCCAAAGAATGGTATGCTAAAGGTATGACTCAGTGTAGCTGTCAGTGGCGTGGCAGAAATGATGAATTTGTATTTCTTCTCAAGCACACGATCACGCGTTTGTCGGTCCAGACCCTCTAGACATTCCAAACGCAACAAATCGAGACCACCAGGCAGCAGGTGACGCAGCGAGCAAATGGTGGAACGCAAAATGATGGCATGCGCGAAATAGCGCGACACGTCACCCTCACCCTCTGCATCCAGCAGCGATACCTGTTCCAGTTCGACCAAAAAGCTATCCATGCTCTCTTCAGATAATTTTCCCACCTCGAACATAGTAACGGCGTGATTCTTTAGACCGGGCGATAGATTGCCCATCATCAGGAAGGCCGTCAGTGTTGAATCGAAGAGGAAACCCACCCGTTTGCCACTCTTTACAGTTGGAGGGGTTTGAGCGATCTGCTGCTTGGTGTTTGTGGTGGTTGTAGTGCGTTCACTCACATCCTCCAGCTCGGAGCTTAGCTCTTGTTCATCACTATTGTTGGTGTTATTGTTATTGTTGATGTTGGGAGTGGTGGCTGTAGTTGCTCCAGCAGTTGACATGTTTGCAAAACTAAAATCACTGGTGTTCCCATCAGAGGAAAGATAACCAATGGAGCTACTGTCCTTGTCAGGCTGCTGTGGAGTTGCTCTGGGCGTCTTGGGACTCTGCGGTGCCAGCTGCTCGAACTCGCAGCTGCCGCCATGTAGATTATAATTCAGTGGAGTTATTTGTGGCGTCTGCGGCAGCTCCTGTTGATTATAATTCAACCAGCTGGCATTGTAGCCCGTCTCAATGGCCTCACCGTCCTCTGTCAGGGCCTCCTTGCGTCGCGCAAAGCCCAGCCGACAAAAGAATGAGACCGCCTGCTTCACACAGTCCAGGTCTAGCTGCAACATTTGAGCCAGTTCAGCAATAGTCATGTGCTCATCGGCGCTGACGAATATCTTGTACAACAGATTTTCAAAATAATCTCCGCTCACACGATTCATGACGAAATTCCGCAAGGGTGGAATGCAGATGCGGTCTTCACCACAAATTGGTACATCCAAGTAGACCAGTCCTTTGCGATAGAGACTGTGCACCACATCAAAATCGCACTTACCAGCCGGCTGGGAGCCAAAGTCAATAAGATCATCGAGCAGGCTTCGCTCCGCCTCCGTCACATAACGAATGTCCGATTCAAGGACATAGCCAATGTCCAGACGCCACCAGGGTTCGATGTGAATGCGCACGGGAAAGCGCGGCAGAAAGTCTAGAGGATTGGGCTTTGCGCTAAATATAAGGGTGCGTGTAGTGTGCGTCTTCAGGTCGCTTATCAACGCCAAATACTCATTGCGTCCAATTCCCAGTACACGCAGGCAGTCCGCGGCTGTGAAGTTCGGCAGCGTGTCGTAGCTCTTGTCACTGCGCAGCAACTGACTGAGAACCTCTATGTAATAGTTAAAAGGCGTTACCCGCAATCCCTTGGTCACAATATCGGCCAAATGGTAGGGAAACACTCCCAATCCATTTATATTCCTCTTTATGAGCAGCTCGTAATAGCGTTGCTCTTTCCCAAATACCTTTGAGGCCAAGTTGCCACGAAAGCGCAACTGATTCTTTAGACTGTAGTTGAATACGTATTTTTCGTAGTCCCGCTGATTGTTGTGCAGCACCGAGCGTAGGTGTACGGGCAGTTGCAACCATTGTAAATTTCCCCGCACACAATTGCCAATCTCTTCGGCCACCTTTTCCGTTGACATTTTTAGACTGTGCGTTTCAATTGCTTGTCTTGCTCTGCATAGGTGTTAGCTTCTTCATATTGCACATGGATAAGTGATGCCAATTTATTTTATATTTGTCACCTTCGTCCTGCTGTTTACTTTTCGTTTGTTCTGCTTTTCGTTCTTATTGCATTCAGATACGACTTCGAAGCAAGAGAAGAAAATACGACAGCTGATAAGGCTGTCTGACTAGAGCGATAACGATTGCGCGATTACAATTTATTTGCCAACTACACTGAAATTTTTATTTTTTTATTTACAATTGTTTTTATTGATTTGGTTTAATATACTTGAAAAAAACATGTGATCTTTCACTATATATTTACATTCAACGAATATTAGTTTCTTTATTTGGGAGATACAAATTTTCATTACAACAAATAAGTTGAATCATATACTGTGCAATCAGAGGTACCGCGAATGAATAAAATGAAAAGAGATTGCTTGTAATCAGTAATCGGTTCGAGTTTTGTACGCGTTTATCAATACTGCAGCGCTAGCAACCCTGCTGATGATTTTCAATATTAAAAGGCTGCTTTTTGTAAACATTTCTGATACAATTGTTAAATTTTTGTTAGAAACAGTTTTTTAAATTGAGCAAACGTTTTAAAGAACTAGTGAAGCTGTTATGTAAAGCCGCGCCCACGAGCAGAAAAAGACACCCTCACAACGCATCCAACACTCAGCCACCCAAAGGGACATCGATTTTTTACACTCTTTTATGGTCTGTTCGCAAAGGTAACGCAATAGAGCGCGCACGAAAACGAATCAAAGAAACGTGCGACAAGTGTCGGCCGGGGGGAAGCACGTACGAACTACCGACCAAGGCAAGGAATAAGGCAGTACGCATAAAGGCGGAATTTATTGAATTGGGTCGTCGCCGTCATCACACACAAAGACGGTCGCTCCAATGAGCGAGGAAGAGCAGCAGCAGCCGAAGGCGCGGCAAACGTCGCCGTTGCCAGGCGTCTCAAGGTGAATAGCATTCAAAGAAAATTTTTGCTGAGCGAGAGCGTAGCTCAAATGAAATTATGCTAATTTGTTGCGTGCTTGTCTGCGTTTTTTTCCTTTCTAGGGCCTCCACATCAATGGCTGCAGCGGAGTCCATTGCACCAGTAGCAGGCAGCGGTGGTCGTGCCACGCCCGAAATGAAACGTTCGGCTGTCCGGAGTCTTATACAACGCTACTTTCATCAGCTACAGTCCGGATGTGGCAATGAAAATTGCACGAATGCCAATTGTGCTTCCAGTGGCAAAGTAGCACCCATGACTCCAAACGAAGTAGCAGCGCGTGCGCTACAATTATTCTCACAGGATGCACAGCTGTGCGAAAGCACACCCGACACGTTGGCATCATCCTCAAGATCGCACTTGGGTCTGACTGCAGATTGCGCTTCTGGCAGGTAAATAGTGTCTTCATCTTATTGTGAACTAATTGACTCACTATTAAACATTGCTAGTCACAACAGCCCACAGTTGGATGTGGATATGCTTTCGCCCAATGACAGCAGTAGTAGCAGCAGTAGCAGCTCGACAAGCACTATTACCTCCGCCAGTACAACGACAACAACGAGTACCCATTCGAATACAGCGCCACAGGATGCAACGGTGAGTACATCCTCGCCGCTGCCATTTCTGGAGCTCATTGCCGTGGGCTCGTTGCTGCAAACAAAACTGTCCACACCTGCCACAGAAACGACAGCATCAAATGCAGACTCATCTGGGTCCGGTGCCTGCACTCCAACGCGGCCAGCTGTTGAGTTCTTGGATGCGGTCACAGTCGAGAGAATGTACGAAGAGTGCCGATCCTCTGGCAGCTACGATCTATTGCACCACGCCATCACCGATGTTTTCTCACGCGTGGATCGTCTGGGTAAGAGCTTTTGTCGCGCTCCAGAAACAGAGCAGAGCAGTCCGAGCAGCAAGGTGCAGGCTCTGCTCGCCAAATCACCATGTGCCCTCAATAAGGAGGAACTGCGCACGCTCGAGGGCGAGCATGACAAGGACGAAGATAGCACGCAGGCGCTGGATCAGGCGAGTAGCAGTAGCAGCAGAACTGAAGTGAATACCAGTAGCAGGTTAAGCGGTGAAGTGGACGAGGATGATCCTATGGAGCAGTCGGAGGCCAAAGAGAGCTCCGATGAGGATGCACTCACCAGCGACACATTAGTGGACTTCAGCGGCTTGCGTCGTGTCAATCGACTCTTAATGCGCTCGCCTAATCGGAGCATTAGCGAAAAGCTAATGACAAGCGTTATTCAGCTGGCTGAAAGCATACGCTACATGGGTGCCGCGGATTGGGAACAGGAGAATGTTTTGCACTGCCTAGTCATATGCTTTGATATAGCCACCAATAGTAAGTTGCGAAATAATAACGCTAGAGATCTTCCTTTATACTCCTCTTCTCTCCTTCCAGCCAGTAACAGCGTAATGGACATGGAATACCTCGACGAGGTGCTGCCCAAGCTCTGCAAAGCAACCAGTGTACTGCCTGTAAGGACGCAGGCGCGACTGGCCTGCATTTGGGCGAAACATTGTGCAGATCAGCTGCAAACACTCGTGGCCTCATGTCAGCAACAGATCACGCTTCAAGTACTCCTAGACGAGGATTCGGTGCGTGAGAACGAGTCCATCATTAGTCTGACTAAAGTGCTGAAGGTAAGAAGGGACAATTTAATTTCGTCGGATGTCATGTTTCATTACAAGAACAAGTTGGCCTTACCAGTTATCGAAATATGAATAAATCCATTGTCTTGTTCAAATTTTCTGGCATGTTTTCAGCGCAATTTAATTAAGTTCAGTTAGTGTTCCCGTTTAAAAGCAATTCAATTCCGCATTAAATGGCAATGAAATTCAATTGAAATGGGGAAAAGCTTATTGGAAGGTTTACGTAATTTCAAAGTTTAATAAAAAGCAAAGAAAACCTAAATGATTACTTTGCTAAGAATAAATTAAATCAGCAATTAAATTAATTAAACTGATTAACTATAAATTTCAATGTTGTCTTTGTTGCCTATGACCACAATTTGTCAAAAAAAATTTTTTTTCGGACTGTCAAGATGACAGATGTTTTTTTCTTATTCTTCAAATATGTCCTATGTATATTAAAAGTGCACCAACAGAGTTACAAAAAAGAGATTCGCTGTTGCTCTGTCACAACTAATTAGCCAAATTAGATCCATAATTTTAAACAAGATCCAATTTCCAATGTTTCCATAAATCTGTGACTGTATTTTCCAAAGCCCGTGTTTGACCAAAATCTATTAAAACCTTTGTATTTGCGCGAGCCACTGTTCCATCTGAGGCCAAATAGGTCATAAAATGTAAATCTAAAGCAGAGTTCTGTGGTAAAAAATAATATACATAATAAACTTCTTGAATTTTTTTTAAATTACACTAAAAGTTTAAAATGCGATAAAAACAAGGAGAGCTTTGAATTTTTTTCCATATATTAACTTTTAGATTATAGTAATAATTGTAGAACTAATTAAAAATGTAACTTACAGATCGTTTTCTATGCCAACATTTTGGCCAGCGAGCTTGAGTGTCCTTCCTGCCTGGTGTCGTTGCCACAGAGCGCGGAAAGCGCCACAGATGAGGATGCAGATGCGGGAGCTGCTGCTCTTGAGGATGATCTCTTCATATATAGTTCGGTGACGCATCCGCATATGCCTAAATTTGCCGAAGACAAACTGGAAAAGTTATTGAAAGTACATGCCGGAGATTGCCGCCAACCACTTGTGCCGCTCGAGGATTTCTACAATGAAGCGCTAAGCGATCACATACATATGAATCAGGACTATTTGTCCTACAAAACGTTGGCAATGGAAAGCGAAATTGGCTCCAGCCATACGAACTACTTCTCATTTATGCTCTACGCCTTTATACTGATGCCTGCTACCAAAGTAGATGCCTTGTATTACGACAGTCGCATGCGGATGTACAGTGAACGGTATACCTCGCTGTACTCCATAATTAATAATTTCGGGGACGGTCAGGATGGAGCACCGCGACCAGATCTTAAGCTGACGGTGCGACGCGAGCAGCTCATCAACGATGCGCTCATTGGGGTAAGTTAAAAAATATGCTAAGAAATAGAAATTAATTCGGTTGGATAATGCCGCGTATGTTGCAGCTCGAATTAGTGGCCATGAGTAATCCCAAAGATCTAAAGAAGCAGCTGGTTGTGGAATTTGTTGGCGAGCAAGGCATTGACGAGGGTGGCGTTTCCAAGGAGTTTTTTCAATTGATCGTCGAGGAGATTTTTAATCCGGCCTTTGGTATGTTTGTGCAACAGGAGGAAACCAATAATATGTGGTGAGTCTAACAAGGGCCCAAAATCATAAAGATATCTTTACAGGAAAAAGCAGAATCTCCTGGAAAATATTTATTGAATTTAATGTTCCCTTTTTCCGCTGTAGGTTTAATGCCATGCCCTTTGAAAATGGCGCGCAGTTTACGTTAATTGGCATTATCATTGGTTTGGCTATCTACAACAATGTAATCTTGGCTGTGAACTTTCCAATGGTCGTCTATCGCAAACTAATGGGCTATCGAGGCACCTTTAACGATCTGAACGATTGGAGTCCCACCCTTTATAAGAGCCTAATGGACCTGTTGAAATACGAGGGCCAAGACATGGAGGAAGTATTTCAGCAAACGTTCAAGATCAGCTACAGTAATGTCTTTGGGGAAATGGTTGAGCACGAGCTGGTACCCCATGGTGGTGAGGTAGCGGTTGGACAGCACAACAAACACCTCTTTGTCAGTCTGTATAGCGACTACTTGCTGAATGTGAACATTGAGCAACAGTTCAAGGCATTCCGAAAGGGTTTCGAAATGGTCACAGATGAGTCTCCACTGAAGCTGCTATTTCGTCCCGAGGAGATCGAAATGCTTGTCTGTGGGAGTCGCGTAAGTATTTCTGTACAGACTTTAAATTGTTATTACTTAAACACATTCCAATTCCAGGAATTTAACTTTGTGGAATTGGAACAATCGACTGAATATGAAGGCGGCTATACGGAAGAGACGCAGATCATTAAAGATTTCTGGAGCATTGTGCATGGCATGCCGCCCGAGTCAAAGCGTAAGCTGCTTGAATTCACAACGGGTTCGGATCGTGTGCCAGTGGGTGGGTTGAGATGCCTGCGGCTGCTCATTACAAGGCATGGACCTGACAGCGAACGTCTGCCCACCTCGCATACTTGCTTCAATGTGCTGCTTCTGCCCGAGTACAGCAGCAAGGAAAAGCTGGAGGAGCGTCTGCTCAAGGCCATCAACTATTCAAAGGGTTTCGGCATGTTGTAGTCGCATCGTAATTCATTGTGTAAAGCCGACTTCAAGCTGGTACTTCCCACGTCGTAACTGATACCACCTTTGATGACAGTGATGTTGAAAATGATAAAAAGATGATGTTCAGTTCATTTATCGTTTTGCCATTTATTTTTGATAAATAATACATGTTCGTAATGACAATATATATGCTCAACTCGGCTCTCGCCCTTGAGCACATGGAAAATTCACTTCGCATATATACATAAATACATATATATACATATATATACATATATATATATATATATAGACGTATATAGTATATAAACCCACTGAACCAATTATTTTGTTTCAGTAAACGTTTACGCAGTTATGTTTAATGTCGCCAATTCAGTTAAGTGTAAATACCACTCATACCTAAACGTGCATGTTATTATTAATATAACACCCAGTTTTGCTAAATAAATTACAAGATGTGCGCGCGCGCAGCCAACATTCGAAAACCGACAACATTATTACCTATCGATTGTAGTTCGATTATCGAATCCGCCGTACACTGACAGACATTTCTCAACACTTTCTTACAGCTGGTACGCTCTCTCACTCATTCCCTCTCTCTTTCCTTCATTAACTGCTTGTACTCGTGCGCTCAATGAAGCCAGCTCCCAATCATTCATGTTTTTGTCGTGGTTGTGCTCGGCTGCGCAACAGAAGTGCGCTGTTAATTGTTTGTAGCATAGAATACAAATTGTTCTTGAATTTGTGCAAATAAACAAACAAAAGTTGAAAATTCTATTAAATAGTGCATCTGCATAGTGAGGAGTGAGTGTGTGTGTAGTAACGGAAATACTAGCTATGCAAAAACAACAACAATGCGCATGGTTTTTGCGCTTTCCTTCGCTCCAGCGAGTGTTGTTGTTGCTCGTAGCATCACTGTTACTGCAAGGAGCCGACAGTACACAAAAAGCTACTGAAGACTTGGCCGAAACTGTTGCAGATACGGCGGAACAAAATTTGAATGGTTTGTTGCGCCTCACATATTTACATACATATGTATAGATTTAGTTATAAGTTTATGCATGTGTCGTCTACACATGCTGAAATGAGTTCATCTTTTTAATTAGCAACTATAGAAAATTCCATAGCGTCCAACGAGCGACTTTCCATAGCGCGGACTCATATACACACGCATCCAACTCATGAATGCTGACTACATTCTGCATCTTTGTTTATGAGTTTCCGCCTCTGTCTCACAATCAGTGCGCTTTTTTTTTTTTTTTTTTTTAATTTTCTTTATATCCATGCATGCAATTCTCCCACATAAGAATGTAAATGCATACATACATTCATATTCTAAGTATTTTTGAAGTGCACGGGCTATCTGTAATGCATCAACAAATTCTGTGTGCTGTTTTCACAATTTTCGATGTTCTATAAAGTGGTTTTTGTAGGCCGAAGAACGCAATGGGTGTTAAAACCTATAAAACAGACACACTCTAGAAACTGCTATCTCATGTCCGTCTGTATAAACACTGAGTTCATTAACTTTAAAAATATCACTAAACCTCAAGCACTGCTTAAGAACTTTTTATTTTTTAAATATCGTAATCCATTTTGTATTTGAATCAATAAGTATGTAAGGTGGACTCAAAAGTAGTTGGAAAAATAAGAAATCTAATTTTCGTATTCTGCACAAAATATCGATTTCAGTCATTTAAATCATTTAATGTATTCTTAAACTAAAACCGATGGACCATAAACAAATTTAAGATACAAAAACTTAGTATGAAGGATCGATTTGAAAATATGTTTCTTCTCTGATTATAGAACACATTGTACAAAAAGATCCTTTCCCAAGAAAGCTTTAAAAGAGAACTTGCTTACAACCCAAAAAAAAAAAAAGAAAATATATTTATTAAAAATGTATCAAGTTGCATAACTAATGTATAATATATACAATCAAAAAAGGCCTCAGAGCACCATCTAAAAATAATAAATATAATATAATAAAATAATAATAATTAAAACCTTATTGTGTTTTCTTTAACTTAAAAAGCATATATTTTGGCCGAAAGTTTTGGGTAAAGATGGAAAAATTATATTTATTTATGAAATACGAGTATATCTCCAAAACTGTATTAAGTTTTAGAGTGACGAAACCGACAAAGTTTTGGGTAAAGATGGAAAAATTAGATTTCCAAAACTGTATTAAGTCTTAGGGTGACAAAACCGACAAGAAATTAATGGATATATGTAAGATGCCCATATGATAGTTTTGCTTTGCTTTCAAAAAAACTTAAATCAATAAACTTTAAATAAAACAAGAACATGTTTCAAGTTTAATTAGAAATGTACTAATTTCAATCTAAATAAATTACAGTAAATAAAATATAAAACGAAGTATACTATTTAAGTTTTATTAGTTTCATGAAACCCGATTATCTCTTAGGAAATGAACTATTTCTGGCTTTTGTTCTTTGCTTCTGTCTGAACAACAATGCGATTAATTCTTAGATTTGAAGCTAACACAATAATCAAGTAGAGAACTCGTATACTTTTTCTTTGGTTTAAGTTGAACCAAAATTGATAGAAACGACCAATTTAGACTATTGTGTTTGGTGACGCAAATGTTGAACTCATTGTGGATTCAATTAACACATTTCTTTTCATCTCCATTACAGATAAAATCAAAGTCTTTACGGTGGCCACCGAACCCACAGATGGCTATGCCCGTTACCTCCGCTCCGCACGCGTCTACGACATTGAGGTGAGTAAGAAAATAGATGAAGAACAAAAAGTTGAAAGTGTTACAGTCGGGACATGATGATAGACAATGCAAAGCGTTGAATGGAAACTCTAGATCCATCTCGCAGTTTTGCGATCGATTTGCGATCTATAACCGTTAGACGGAGACCGGTTGAACGTTTATTTGTCATTAAACAAGTTCACAATGGGAGGGACGCATAGAAATCATTGCTGATTGTTTTTATTGATGAATTTTAAATTTGATTGTGATTTAACTCGGCGCTGTTGATATTTTTTTCTTTCAACATATGTGGTCATATATGTATGTTAGTTCATAAACAATTCATATACGTGTATAAGATTGCCTGTCCTATTGGATGCTGAGCAGTTTTCCCCGCTCCTGCCCCACTGTTGGTCTAAGCATCCGGCTGTGGCATCTGAACGACTCTGCTCTGATGTGTTCCACACAGATTGGTTAACTTAATGTGCCACATACATTGCACACATGTGTTGCTTTATTTCAATTTTTTCTCATTCTCGTGTTTACTTTGTAGTGCTTTTAATCACCCAGTCACGTAGTCCATACATGCATATGTACATTCTTATGTACATATATATACATATATATGTTGCATATATACTTGTACATATCTGTATAGTTGCCGGGCGCAATTAGAACAATTTTGTTGCCGGCAGTATTCACTTTTGTCAACTCGATTGATAATTTACAAATACATATGTATATACACAAATTAAGATTTTCTTATCTGTTGAGGCTGTGCCGGTTTCTTGTTTTATGTAAAGCTGCGACAATCCATCTCTATATACATATGTATGTACTGTACGTACCAGTTGTCCAGTTCCTAAATTAAAAAATTGCTGATAAGCCGGTTGCTTGACGTCGCTCTGTGGCTCAAGTTTCGGTTTTTTTTTTTTGTTTTTGTATTTCGAGTATTGTGTGAACTTAGGCATTTGGAAACATCAGGTTTCAAATCAACTGGGTGCTTATTCCGTCCACATCATACAATTATGTATACACATAAATGCAAATTTTGGACATATACAAGTATATGTACATACTATACATATATTGGTACTTTTTATGTAAAATGTAAATAGTTCTGCATTTAAAGATGGCATTATTTAATAATATTCGTTATGTTGAACATAAAACCCCAACAGAAGACGTGTTAGACCCCAAAAAGTTTATTCAAACCTGAATATTTCTATCTGCCTGCCTCTCTGTCTCTATGAAAGCATTTTTAAATTTATGAGTTGCTAAATTTGTGTACCTTTTTATATTGCTTTGGAAAAAGTATCTTTCTCGCTTACGGTTTTAGTTACAGATCCAACAGTGTCATGAGATAAGGAAATACGTTTGGACACATTTTTTTCATCTTCATAAACTATGTTGTTGGTTCTTTTTGGGTTGTAGGTGTCTTTTTATTGCTGGAGCCTATCTTTTTAAAATTAGTTGAATCGGATAACTTTATAAAATAGCTTATAAGTCGCTCTTTTTATTTTTTTTTAAAACAACAGTTCCTAACTGAGTTTTCAACTAACAAATTTACTTGCTGTTGGCTTTTAATTTATAATAATAATTTATTATTGAATGTGCATAGTTGATATTTGATTTCCTCTAAACTAGATATGGTTTCCAAAAATACTATATGACATTATAACTTTCGTAAAATGTGAGCCATTTGTTAAATTTCTTAGCGGTAAGCATATTTTTTAGTCTTCTTTTATTTCATAAGTAGGGACATTCTCTTGATCTGAGGTTTCCAAAAGATTTCTACCTAAAAAGTACTCAAATAATTGCATTGAATCAACTGCTTGTATATTCGTAGTTATAATAAAATAATATTTAGTAATTTTTATTTAAATACCATATGTAGAATTGATTAAGCTTTAAACTAACAACTACTCATTGTCTTTATTTAGGTAGTAACTCTGGGCATGGGGGAAGAGTGGAAGGGTGGAGATATGTCTCGCGCCGGTGGAGGTTTCAAAATAAATCTGTTGCGTGAAGCTATAAAGCCTTTCATTGATTCCCCAGACACCATTATTCTCTTTTCGGACAGGTAATATACCATATTTATATAATTTTCATAATAAAACACTAATTCAACTCAATTATTTTAGTTACGATGTGATAATTACGGCCACCCTCGATGAAATTGTGGAGAAATTTAAGGAATCTGGCGCAAAATTACTCTTCTCTGCAGAGAAATATTGCTGGCCCGATAGCAGTCTGACTGACCAGTATCCAGAAGTTGAGGGTAAAGCCTCGCGGTTCCTGAACTCTGGCGCCTTCATTGGCTATGCACCGCAGGTGAACGCATTGCTGGAGGAGCCCATCAGCGACACACAGGACGATCAACTCTACTACACCAAAGTGTTCCTGGATGAGGCCAAACGTGCAAAGCTGGGCATGAAACTGGATACGGAATCGCGTCTCTTCCAGAATTTGCACGGCGCCAAGGATGATGTGAAGTTGAATGTCGATCTGGATACCAATCAGGGTACGCTGCAGAACATAAATTTCATGACCACGCCCAGCATTGTGCACGGCAATGGACTAAGCAAGATCGATTTGAATGCCTATGGCAATTATTTGGCCAAAACATTCAACGGCGTCTGCACATACTGCTTGGAATATCAATTGGAAGTGGATGTAAGCGAATGCTAGCTTAGTTAGTTGACTTTCTAATATATGCTTTTGTTATTTTCAGGAGAAAAAACTGCCCATTATCAGCTTAGCTGTGATTGTGCCACAGGCAGTTCCCTTCTTCGATTTGTGTTTGGCCGGAATTGAAAAGATAAACTACCCCAAGGATCATTTGCATCTGTTCATCTACAGTGCTGCTGAGTTGCACGATGGCCAGGTGAAGTCGTATATCCATAAATATGGTGAACAATATGTCAGTGCGAAGATAGTAATTTCCGAGGATCAATTGGATGAACGACGTGGTCGACAATTGGCTCTGTAAGTAGATGGTTGAAAATTTGAATGGAAAGGGAACTTCAATTGAAGTTTAAAATACTTGTATTTGGAAAAGGATTTTATGATTAGGTCTGTTCTGAATTCCAACCAACCGCAAGAAAGCTTTCAAAGTTGGTATATACTAGGTACATATATAAGTACATATATCAAAGGTAGGACAGCAGAAAAAATCTACAACTATCATGAGTTTAGTCCTGCTACTTACATCGTTTGATGAGAACGATGCTCTCTAAATTGGAGCTCCATTTGACGTATCCCTAACTATTGGCTGCCCATGTAAACAATTTTGAAGTCGTCGGAAGTTGTCTGACGAAAGACCCTCAGACTTGTCATTCTTACTGACCCATAATAGCTAAAAGTTTGAAACCATGCGGAGGTCGGGATAACCAAACATAAGTTTAAATGTTTTTCGAGCTAAAAAATTACAAACACATACTTTCTTTTCTCTTTAAAAATATATAATTCCTTTCATTTTCAATTCTTTTAACTCGTATGTCCGAAAACTTGAGCCGTATAAGTGTCAACATCTCAGACATCTCGTTTATATAATTAACATTGTTATGTTGAAATAATCCCCAAACTATTTGACCTTTTCTGATTCCAGCGAGCAAGCTAAACGGCACAACAGCGATTACATTTTCTTCGTGGATGGTGATGCGATTATCGATGAGGCAGAAGTCTTGCGAGAACTCCTCAAACTGAACAAGTAGGTCGAGTCTATAATATTATTAAACAGTCTAATACTCAACCGGATTTTTCTTGCTTCCAGGCGTTTTATTGCTCCGCTCTTCTCCAGATACAGTGAGCTCTGGAGCAATTTCTGGGGCGCGCTCTCAGACGGCGGCTATTATGCACGTTCCCATGATTATGTGGATATTGTGAAACGCGATATTCTGTAAGTAAGAAATTCGAAGTCCCTAAACACATCGGCTTCAATTATTTCAATCCACCTGTTTGATATGCAAGACCATTTATTTTCAACCAATTTTATTTTGTAAAAACTTAAAATGTTGGCTTGTGACATCGCTAAAAACAAAGGATTGTGTTAAAAAGAAGAGAATCGCATTAATCGAATGCAATGGAGAAATCGGTTTTGAAACTGCGTCGATCGATGGAATACATATTGTCGGCTGTACACTCATAGAGTCCCGCATCCATTTGTGTGGCCGGATCGATTTCGATCTTGGACTTCACTCTGTCCTCGCCAATGCGCCACTCGTGGACATGCATGTACAAATGCTGATAGATCTCAGCACCGTCCTTATACCAGGTGATGTGCGGTCTTGGGTTGCCCTTGGCCACGCACAGGAAGGCGATTTTATGGCCCAGCACGTATTCCAAATCAAAATGCGAGGCTTGCAATATTTTGGCGCCCTGCCGTGCGAATGATTAGAGAGATTTAAGTGAATAACGCTCCAGTTAGACTAATCAGAATGGGCTTTACTCGGTCAGATAGCAAATAGTTTGCACAAATAAATACAACAAATTATTCAAGTCGGCTGTGAACAGGAATTCTCCAATAGTCTTTAAAATCAATTTATGTTATGTTGGGTGCAAATTATTCGCCCCTCTGACCGTAGCTCTACACTTACATTATTGTTGTTGTAATACTGATCTGATTCGGGATCACGATATTTACCCGTAATGGGTAAACCAATTTGTACCTGTTTTGGGGGTAAAAATATAAAATTTTCCGTTCATTTTTGATGGGGCGGCGAAGTCGTTTCTACCTACCCTAGATTTAGTTCGTCCACGTCCTCGACCACGCCGAGCTTCGCACAGCGGTGTGCTTAGCATGAGAATGCTGAGACCCAGGCAGATGAGCAGGCACTTCAGTTGCATTATATCCGTGTTAATCTATATGGGAGTGTATCTAAATTTATATGTGTGTCTGTGCTGCTTGCGAATCTCTGCGCGTTTCGACCGACGCACGGCGACTAAATCTCTTCAGCTCTGTGGCTGTTGTCGCCGCCGCGCAGTCTGTTCGGCTAATTTGCCACAATTGGCGTCGCCACAATCTCCGCTTTTCGCGCTTGCAGCTTTACATTTAATCCACTCGCACACCAACCTATCTGTGTGCTCGTATGTGTGGATATGCTAATGGCTTGTACCTTGTTTAGTGGATGGATGCTTTTGCATTTTTATATCATTCAATTCTATCAGTTGCTATCTGCTCTGATATACATATTATTTGATCTCATCTCTACGTTATGCACACACCAAAGAGCGTGGCTTCCATGCTTCCAAATAAGTGTGTATGTGTGTGGTCACCCCTTTCGGATCAGTACGCCATTATTTGCATGTGGCACAGTGGTGCCAATAATAGGAAATTATAACTTCCACCTCAGAATAAAGTCAACTTTTTTTATATATTTTTTTTTATGAAATTACAAAGGATATTGCCATAAATCACATATTGTTTAAAGTACTTTTCTATGGATTGATATGCAAATTAAAATCATTATGAGCACCAGAAGTCGATTGCAGAAGTAACTATTTTATTATCATCCACCAAACTGTCATAAAGTTTTCAGGAAAAATTGCATTTTTTGTTTACACTTCGACCGAAAAAAACATTTAATTAATATGAAATCTGGCTTTTCTACTTTTCCACTATTACATCCCATTATTCGAGGTAATTTCGTTTTATAATGCCTATTTCTCGAAAGAAAAATCATTTTCAAACCATTTTGTGGCTTCCAAGGCTTTAAAGCTTGTTCCAAAATGATTTTTGTTTTATTGAATTTTTTAACATTTTTATTATGGGTATTCAGATTCATTCATTTTTCCTATAGGAAAAAGCTTTAAATTGATTGTAAGACTTGATATTTCATTTTGTCCTATTAATTGCCACACTGTGCCTGGGAATAAAATTCAAAACTTTTGTGCTTGACACATGGTGTTCGTTTGCTTTCACACATTTTAATAAAATAAATGCAAAAACATCATTTAAATTGGGTAATTGAGCCAATTTGTCGACTTCGTACACCCGAACTAAGGCAACAATAATACGAATAACTACAAATTTAGAAACTTAGGCCGATGTGAAAGGTCGAGAATATTCGTAAATAGAATTTGAGTGCAACGCAAAAAGAGTTGTTGTAGCTTGTGCTTAAAAACCACCGACATTTGTAAAATAAATTTTTAATATGTATTCAGTTGAAAAGATTTAAGATTCTTAAAAATTAACCATGACATAGTCTGTGCGAAAACCTCGTCGATCAATAGCATATATATTATCCGCTTGGCATTCATAATAACCTGAAAAGTTATAGAGGAAATAATTGTATATTATTATATTGACTTTGAAATATACATAAAGTATTTTCAATGAAGAATTACGATTTGAATGAGTGTGGAGTGAATTGATAAATGTATGCTGAACTGTATATTCCTCTAGAAAGCTTACTTACCAGCGTCCATTTGCGTAGTGGGATCGATTTCCATTTTCGACTTTATAATATCGGTTTCTATGTGAGACTCGTGTACCTGAAAATAAGAAAAAAGTTAACCAGTCGCATCGAAAAATGTTGATATTCTTATAATTTATTTCATACCTGAAAGAAGCGATGTTGATAGAGTTCAGCGCCGTCCTTAAACCAGGTTATTGTGGGACGTGGATTGCCTAATAAATGTGTGATATGTGCGGCTTAAAGAGTTAAGGACTGTAAAAGATTCTTTTTGTAAACTCACCCTGAGCCATGCAGAAGAAAGTGATCTTTCGACCCAAGGTATAATCCAGTTCAAAATGCGATGATTTAATGATCTTGGCACCCTAGAAAACCCAAAGTAAAATATTATGTAGCTTTCATTTGCGATATATTCAAAGCAGCAGCTTACATGCTCATGATCGTAATAGTTGACTGCATCCTGTGATCGATGCTGTATAACCACGGGTTTCTTTCCAGTGTAATTGCGACGCAAAACATTGCGACCACCGCTACTTCCTGGAATCAATTGATATTAAAATCTTTATAGACAGCGAAGACTTACGTACTTACTTTGGGCTGCGGCTTGTCCCAAATCGCCCAACAACAACAGGCAGAAGAGCGCCAAAGTTTTCAGCTCCAACATCTTGCAGCGGTTCAGCCAGGGTCTGGGCATGTAGAGTTTCAATATATGGAATCGGAATAATTTGAAAATATAGCGATCGCGCAGTGCGCTATCGCAGAATGATGTTTGCATACTGCGCTTTGAAGCGAGAGCGTCAACGAATCGTTCTCACCCCCTTGGCGCGTTATTTTTTATTAGGCTTAATGGAGGTACAAATGGGGGGAGCTGAATGTGTGGTTTGCTGCTACTTTCCATTTCCACAACAATGTTGCGAATTGTCAATGTCTAGTGAATTATCGGCCCAACTATATTAATGTACAGTTTCGTCACAGATTATGCTTTCAACTAATATTCTTTGTCTCTCTCTCTCTCTCTCTCTTTTCTCTGACAGCGGCATGTGGAATGTGCCCCATGTGACGAGCATTTATTTGATCAAGCATGATGCCTTCGATGCAATCAACTTCGAGCATAGCCAGTTTGACCCAGATATGGCAATGTGCGATTCCCTGAGAAAAGCAGTAAGTACATGACATTGTTCTATATAGACCGTCTACACTAAGGTCGCTGAATTGCCAATTCTGTAGCAGAAAAAAACGTATAGTTGCATTGAAAACTCTTGGAATACTAGTGGTTAGAATTTGAATGTTGCAAAAAAGTTCCAAATTTTTAATAGCGTCTATATTTAGATATGGCGTGCGTCGCAATATGAATGATATAGTGAGTGTGGTAGCCAAAATGGTGCCACTAGCGAGTTCTATGATAATTCCCGAATTTAGGTCACTTCCAAAGCTACAATCATTTATTAAAGAATGTATTGTTTATTAAGACTATAATTTGGAGACCATATAAAATGGTCAAGCGAATAAACTGATGTGGTTTATTTAGAAGTTCTGGACTTCTGGATTTATAAAAACTTTAAATAGTGTTATGTTTTATAGATTCCAATTAATTTAGGCTCAAACTCATTAATTTTAAAAATACTCATTAAGGCTGGCAATATTTTTTCTATCCAGCAGCATAGTTTTTGAAACGAAATTTGTTCGATACCTACAATTATTCTAATCTATCAATATATGTATATATTTTGTAAAATTTTGCGAACCTAGGGCATCTTTATGTATGTCGGCAACCAGGATTACTTCGGTCATCTCGTCAATTTGGATAACTTCAACAGCACTGTGGTCCGCCCCGATTTTCATACGTTGTTCACCAATCGTTTTGACTGGACCAAGAAGTACATCCATTCCAATTTCTCGGCCCAGCTGAATAAAAGCTTTGTAATACCACAACCTTGCCCGGATGTATTCTGGTTCCAAATCGTTACCGATGCCTTCTGCGACGATCTGGTGGCCATTATGGAAGCGCACGGTGGCTGGTCCGATGGCAGCAATTCGGACAAACGATTGGAGGGCGGTTATGAGGCTGTACCTACTCGGGACATACACATGAAACAAGTGGGCTTGGATGAGCTCTATTTGAAGTTCTTACAGTTGTTTGTGCGTCCATTGCAGGAGCGTGTCTTTGAAGGCTATTACCATAATGTGAGTTCTAAGAAGATTGCATCATTCCTTATATTGCTTATCACATTGCTTCATTTTTCAGCCACCACGCTCCTTGATGAACTTTATGGTGCGTTACCGACCCGATGAGCAGCCCTCGTTGCGTCCACATCACGACTCCTCCACGTATACGATTAATATTGCCTTGAATCATGTAGGCATCGATTACGAGGGCGGCGGCTGTCGCTTTTTGCGCTATAACTGCTCCGTAACAGAAACGAAGAAAGGCTGGATGCTGATGCATCCAGGACGCTTGACGCACTTCCACGAGGGGTTGCTTGTCACCAATGGTACGCGGTACATTATGATTTCGTTTATTGATCCGTAGAAGCGGCAGCGAAATAATTTTCTGTCCTTAATAAAAGTGCTACTACTATTTTCTTACTGCCATATTGGCTACTCCAAAGAGTAATCTGTTTAAGTCTGATATAAGTTTTTATACTATACATACATTTACGAAAGTGGGGAAAAATAAAATAAACTTGAAATACTTAATACATGCTGTCTGAAGGATTTTATAAATTCAACATTTTTCATTGTTCATTATCTAAGAAAATCGGGCACAGGTTTAAAATGTATATATCCAACAAATAATTATTTGGTTGGCACTACCTAGACCAAAGCATTATTCATTATAGAAGGAGAAACTTGAAATAGTATGGCAAATCTATTGTAGCTATTTTATAATAATCTTAACAAAGCGACTCATCCGTAATATAAATTTTATAATGTCTGATTTAATATTATATATTGAACAAAAAATGGGTAAGAATATTTATGTACATATCTGAAGGTCCATTTTCCTGGACAAATTCGTTGACAGACTAATGGCCCAAGCGGCACTGTGCACTGTTGATAACAACAACCAAGCGCTGTTATTAACAGTCACTCCAGCTGATATGCCACCCACATTTTTAACAGAACGACAAATAACAGTGTGCGCAACAGAGATTTGACATCGACCGCCAGCTAACAGTCGCTTTGCAATGCACAATGTTAAGTGCAGCTGTTAGGTTAAAAGGCAGCAACGGTTTTGCCTTTCAATTCGTTGCGTTTGCTTTAGTCGCGTTTCAACAGCGGAGCATAACAGTGCGCTGTTTGCCTGCTGCCCGAAATACAAGGCTAAGCTGCTGCGTCGCGAGCAGAAAATCTACAGTTAGTCTGCCAACCGCCTGGACAACATAAAGTGTGTTTTGGTTAAAAATAGCAGAGGAAGAGACAATATTTGTCTCATTCATCGTGTGTGGGGGGTATAGGTACTTATGTACATAGTGTGTGTATTTGTATGTGGTTTTTATGTTGTGCGAAAAAATACATAATCCTAACAAAAAATTAGAAGGTTCCTTGAAAAACGCCGCATCCGCATTCTAAAAAGTGTGTAAAACAAACAAAAAACAAAAGCGCAAGTTTTGTTGTTGCCATAGACAAACAGACAGACTGTCAGGCGACGGTGCTCTCACAGGCTCTCTCGGTCTCGGTTGTCGGTTGCTGTCGACGCGACAGGACGACCAAACGACCAACAGCTCATTCGATTTTTCATGCCGCGTGCATGTGTTCTTGTTGTTGGAGTGTTTCTTTTTTATTTTCCCTATATTTTTTACTATTTTATTTACACATTTTCGGGGTGCGTTTCCTTTCTGCCTTCTTCACACCTGCTATGGATATACTCTGTTGCTGTTGCGCCCACGAAGTTGCGCTGGAAACGGCACAACAGCAAAAACAACAACAATGAAGCTAACAGTAATAGCAACAGCAACAAATATAATAATATAAAGTGTTCGTCTCTTTCTTGTAATTCCCATTTCATGCATATTCTGTATTCTAATGATACAAAAATAGAAAAAAACAAAACATTGCATTTGCACATCACAAATACGCAAAGAAAAAGTGTGCAAAATCGTTTTAAAAAATTAACACAACAACATCAACCCGGCAACAACGGCTAACTGCCTAAGGGACAGCTTTTGATTAGCATGGCACAGCAACCTTTAAAGCTAACACCTACGCCATCTTCAAACTCGAAGCCAACAGCAGCGCTAATAAGTTGGCAGAAGCGTTAGAGGTAAGTACTTGGCACCTACTCTCACCACGACCCCAGCCCCAGACCAAGTCCCAGCCCCAGCCTCACCCATAACCCCAGCCACAGACAGAGAGACACCGCTTTCCTGGAGTGTGTGTATGTGTGTGTACAATATGTTATTAGTGCCATTCTATTAGCGCCATGTGCCGCGTCGTCACTTGCCTTGAAAAGCCAAACAGCTGCTAATGGGGCACATCGGCTCGTGTAAATGTAGCGTTCAAGTTCCCTAGAGGAAGTGTGCTGGTCACAACAATAACAGAAATAAGGGGTGTACGGTGTACACAACAATGTTTATGCGCACATTCTGCTTTCCTTGCCGTGCCTAGGGGTTAAGTTAACAACCGTGCTCTGGGTTGCCAATGGTGTTGTCAGGGCTTTCTTGAACTTGCAAGTAGTATGTGCTCCTCTACTCGTGAACTTAGCATATGGATATATGTACGTGTATATAATATGCATATACCTTCTTACTCAAATGACGAACAAAATATATGTAAGCTTAAAGACCAATTTTCATATTTAATCTCTTAATATCATATTGGTGTCAACTTCAAAATAGGCAAATTTTTAATCATTGAAACTACTTTTGGGAGTTGTAAACCATTCTTTAATGAAATTAAGCTTATACACATTTTTTTTCTAAAATCATCGAAATTCAAATGTTAATGAGCGCCCTCGCGATATTAATGAAACTTTGGTATACTACTTATCGTTGAGAATTCCTACAAGTATAACAAAAAAATGTTCGCTCACAACGTATTAGCACAAGTCAGCATTTTGTCAGCAAATTTTTCCAACTAACCCACATTCTCTGAGCGTGCAGATAACTTGAACTTAAAACAAAAGTATTCTTGCTTTAAACCGTGACTAAAGATTATTCAATTATGAATGCTATAGTATACATATATATATATATATATATATATATATATATATATATATATATATATATATATATATATATATATATATATATATATATATATATATACATTTATATTAGATTAGATTTTCACAATGCTTCTACGTGTTGATAAATAATTCTTATATCCGTTATTTTGTGTGCTTCTGTTTGTATTCAAAACAACTGTTTATATAAGGGTGTTCTTTAAGCTTGGGTTGTAAATAAATAATGTTGTCATATCCGTTAATTTTTTTTAGCCAACCAACTTTCAAATGAATCATCCATCATCGTGAAGACTTGTGTATTATGCATGAGTTCTAAACCTTCATTCCACACATTCAATATTTATGATTGCTGCTTATATGCCAATATCCCCTATACGCGAGTATGACTTCCAACTACGTTTTGTGGTTTGAAATGTTTTTTAGGTTTTTTTTTTTTTTGACTGAATCATTGCCTGTGAAATTATTTGCATAATATTTTATTTTTCCGTACTTCTTTAAAAATTTTGCATATTATCTCCGATATTGAATTTGTTTTTTAATCCCTTTCCCGATTTAAACGTGCCTTTGTTGTCATCAATCTGTCTGTATTACCGCAAGAGCCTAACACAAAGGTAATAAAGTCACCAAAATAGGATTTCATTCTATTAAGTATTTCCATATGTTATAATTAATATATAGTTTTTTCATATATGTTACTAGAAGAGAGGAATAGGAGTTACGCACGTTTATTTTTAAACTTACAATGAAGTTGTCCAGTACCTAAACTCTTTTTAAAATTTCTAAATGGTTTTATTTTACAAATAATTTTAAATTTATTCCTTATAACTATTCTTTTAAAATTGTATGTATTTAGGTATACAAGTATGTTGGGTAAAGTTTCTTACTATACATGACTAAGAATTGTGTACCCTTTTTTTACAGTTATTGTTAAAAGTTGTTTAATATTAATAACTTTTTTCCTACTTGATAGCTGTAACAATATATTTTTCTCTGTTTGGTTAAAACATTTATCACCACCACTTATAATTATATTTCTATTTGCATAGTCAATCGCTTTTAATAAGAGTATACTATATAGCGTATTACAAATTAACATTATTACATAATGAACAATGTTTCACTTACGGCCATCACGAGTAAGTAATGAAAAAACAATTTTGGTGTCGTAAGCGGGCAAAATAAATATAATTCTTTTAACACTTAAATAGACGTAGTCTTATGTTAAGAATTTATTTTTATTCTCTTTGTTCCATATTTATTATTTTTTGAAATGAATATTGTTTCTTATATTTTTTATTATAAACTGTTTGATTTTAAAAAGTATTGTGATTCATTATTGTTGGCTTTAGGAAAAGGCTAGTGAATTTAGTGGCATCTAAAGTTCTATGAAAATAGTTTAATAATTTATTTTTAATAATAATAATTTGATGTGCCTGGCTAAGGTCATTTGTTTTTAAATTATTGTTGACCCAACATGTTGTGGCAAGAAGACAAGGCACACACACGCCCCCATCCCTCTTCCCTCATAGGCTTCAATCAAATTTACATGCTTGTAATCATAATAAAACAAAGGATGCACAGTCGGGGTGAGTGAGAGAATATGCAAATGCTTGGCCTGATGGGTTGGTACACAGGTTGGAAGGTTGGCACATTAGTAGGTTGGTCGTTAGCCTGTCCCCTTGACATGTGCGTGCGTGCGAAATCTGTGAGCAGAAAAATTATTAACAAAGGCTCCCCGAGGTGCGCCAAAGGACTTATGCACACACACACACATAAGCACACAAAAAACACACACACACACGCACACACACAGAGAGAGTAACAACCACATTGGCATATTCTCATCTAGGCACCGCAACAACGTTGCCTTCCCTCCCCCATTGGGAGTAGCGCAGTGCGGCTGTCAAACGTAGCTCTGCCTTTGTTAACGGAATTTAAGCGCAAGTACGAGCACGTGCGTGTGTCGATGTGTGTGAGTGTGTGTGTGTTCTGGTAGCCGAGTAATTTGTGTCGCGCTTTAATTTTTTTACCCCAGCAAGGGGGCCTTTCTACACCCCTTGTCGTGACCAATATGACAATTAAGATTTCGCTCGCTTGTTGTCTTGCTATTATTCGTGGTAAGCTCTTTTCTCATCCGCCTAATTTGTTGGTTTACATATTTAATTCCAATTTAAACAGAAGAAACGACCTTTTTTGAAGCCCACTATCAATTCTTAGGGAAATTTTATCATATATGTAGACACTCTCTGAGAGTTCTTTATTCAGTTAAATTTAATTATTTTTTACGAACAATTTTTGAACAACTGAACATATTGTTCTTTATGTTGATGAATACAGCAAATTTGTTTATCGTTATTTTCTGCCATGAGTTCGTTTGTTCGATCGTTGTTTTATTCTTATACCCTTTATTCGAAGGATGAAAGGGTATACTAGGATGTTAAAAACAGGCAGAAAGAGCCCATGTTATACTTAGTCATGGAAATTTATATGAGCAGCATGTGGGGACATATCGATATAGATTATCAGTTCGTATGAACATCGAGAACTTTTCAACCATAACAGCTAGGGACGCCAAACTAGTCCCATTTTATTTCATTCTTATTTTATTGAACGATGTGTTTTGTATGATACCTCAGGATATTTGGAAGTCTCATCCAAAACGATGTTATCTTTGATTGATCAACTTTAAAATATGGTTATATATCTCTGTATTTTGTAAATGTTATTTATAACTTTATGAAAAAAAAAAAAAAAATTAAAAAAAATAACATAATAAAAAGAATCAAAGACACAACTCTAAACTACAAGTATATGGCTGAGTTGAAAATATATCTTGTGAGTGGAATAAAATGCACGCAAAATCCATAAGCTTAACAAAGAATTTAAGTTTTTTTTGAATATTTATATTCATTTTGAAACCGCAACTACAATAGAAACAACAAATTTGAGAGTGTGGAAAACGTATCATAAAGTACGATAGGGATTAGATATGTTTCCAACTGGATCATACGAGTGCCTTGAAAGCTATAGGAAAATATAAATCAAAATAAGCATACAAGATCTGTTCCATATATTTGAAGTGCATAAATTTCTACGAAATTAAATTGTTCAATGTTCTATATTTAAATTTTGGAAATGCTTATCTGGGCTTTTAGAGTAGATGCTTGTTGAATGTATATTATATTATTGTTTGCCCGAAATGCAGCACTCTACACGAATTATGTCGAGCGTCCTGCATTCCGGGCTTTGGGCGGATCCCCAAATGCAGACATCTCAAACATTCTCGCAATTTGGACGTCGCTGTCATAAAGTTGTCAAATGCAAGCCAAGAAGCTTGCTATTTTCCTTTTAAGTGCAGGCATAAGCTCAACAAAACCGACAGCAACAACTATAAGTAAAGCGAACTAGCCCCTGGCAGCGAAATATTAGTTAGACAGTAGTTGTATGTATCTTAAGCTAGAGATTGTCATTTGATAAGAACCGAAAATATTGTATTTTATTCGCCAGCCAGAAATGCGAATCGGACTGAACATGACAGAATGATGCTGAAAATTTGTACTTTTCAAAATACCATCAAGAAACGACTAGCTTTTGCATTAGCAAATGATTCAAGAAGGGTTGTTGTTGAAATTGAAATATTGCACTCAGTTTATGTTTGGTAATTTATTGCGTTGAATACGTAATTGATTGTCTAAGTTAACTATGCAAATTTTGATATAAACATAGCTATAAATTAATCACAACTAATTGGCTATTTATTATTTGATTAAAGAACAACCTTTGTTTTATTTCCGCGCAGTTTAAAGCTACGTTATATTTTCACAGACAACTGGTTTTTATTTGGATGCAACTTGTGCAAAAAAAAAAAAATCAGTTTCATTAAAATATGAATAAGAGAAGTAGGAATTGCACATCTGTTGTTCTTTAATCACGTACATACTATAACCACAATTTAATTGTATTCGTAACAAAAGTACAGCTCTCTCTTTGTTCTTTAACTACTGTACTTACTGTAGTTTATTAAACCTAAGGCTTTGGTCAGACTGGCAAATAATTTGCATGCTATTTGTCGAGTG